TCTCCCTTTCTCCCTCCCTTCCCCTCTCTGTAAATAAATAAAATCTTGAACTCTCTCTCTCTCCCCCCATCCATCCATCCCTCCATCCATCCCTCCCTCTCTCCCTCCTTCCCAGTGCCCTTCAAGTTCTGTGTTAACTTACTTGCAGGAGCTCGTAGCCAGTCTCGCAAAAGACGGAGAACCTGTCTTTCAGGATGTACTTGGCTTGCGCCGGTACAACGTGGCCATTAGGTGGCGCCACCGGATCAGGGCAAGGCTGTGCTGCGCAGAGGAAACCAGGCTGTGGGTTCTCAGGGGTCAATGGCAGGTGAGTCTGAACTGAGCACCCGACGTTCTTGGTTTATAAAGGAGACACTTAACAGGTCAAGAGAGCTCACCGCAAGTCCAGTAGAGTTCGTAAGCTTTAAAACCTAAGGCGAGGTGAAACTCTTGGGTGCGTATTGTGCAAATTAGGATGTGTCGCCTCACCTGGGTTTCCGCCAAAGCTACGTCAGAAAGCCAGGTGCGCAGTAAGCTAGGTAAGCTAGGATAGTCGCCCCTAACGGGGCGTCAGCTCCATGACAGGGACTTCACGCCCACTCCTGAAAACTGAAGTGTGTCCCCGAGAGGGAAAGGCTGCGCACTGCTAGGGTTTAAGTCACACACAGCTCTCCATCCCTGGGGGTGACTGTCAACTGCCCTGTGCCTCAGTGTCCTCGGCTGTAGGGTGCGAGTGGCGGGGATGGCTGCTCGCCTCCCAGGGCCGCTGTGGGGGCGGGACATGCAGCACCTAGCACGGCGCTCTGCTCAGCGCTCGCAAGGAGGGGCTGCGATGAACACCCACACAGGGAGGCCCAGGCTGACCGGTGCTCAGGACGCCTTGGTCTCCGCGTGTGCTCCCGCCCGCGGTGCTCCGGCCTCCAGGGGGACCGGCCTCCAGGGGGACCGCCTTCCCCTTTGAGCTCTGGCCCTGGCCTGCTGTCACCCCCAGGCTTCAGCACCCCCCCCCCTGCCCCCCAGCTGCCCCACAGCACACCACGGTCATCTGCTGAGTGCCCTCCTCCCTCCAGCAGCTGACCTGTGTCTGGAGTGGCTCCCAGTCCCTGGCAGGCCTCAGAGTCTCCCCTCAGGGACCTCCTCTGCAGGGACAGCCCTGTAGGATCCCAAGGCTTCCCCGAAGCCAGCGTGTACCCAGGCCAGTGGCCTGCTTGCGCCTTCCTTGGCACACGCCTCAAGGCTCTGTCCTGGCCCCTTCTCACCCACCAGCCTGGCGAAACTGATTCTCCCCAGACTCGCTCCAAAATCAGCAAAGCAATTTAGGAGTTTTATTACTTGTGGACAAAAAAGGGGGTTCTGTGGGAAGTACCCTCACAGTGTGATCTGATCATTAATTCTAACTGGGCCCTTCCTGGTGGGTCATCTTGTCCCAGGCCTATAACTTCTCTAGTAAGAGGTTTATCTAGGTTGACACACCTTTGAAATGCGCCCTTCCAGACTGATCCTTTTTAATACCTGTCCACCCTTTCAGACCCTCCTCCTACAGGGGGCCACCCTCAAGAGAGCACAGAGTCTGAACTATCCTGTAATCCCATCCCCGCCTGGTCTCCCCACCTTTGTGGAATCTTTCGTATGTTCCACCCTTAATCGCCGATGCTTAAAAGAAACTGCAAGTTGGAGCTCTTGCTCCCCAGCAGCTGTCCTCAGCTTTGGCTCAAACGAACTCACTCAAATTCTCCAGGCCCGGCTGGCTGCCTTGGCCGGTTAGAGTGCCATCCCAACCCACCAAGGTTGTGGGTTGGAGCACCGGTCCAGGCGCATACAAGAAGCAACAGATGAATGCATCAAAAAGTGGAACAACAAAACAATGCCTCACTCATTCTGTCTCTCAAAACCAATAAACAAAATGTTTAAAAATTCTCTACAGGTTTTGTCTTCCCTACAGATGGAAGGAGAGATGGACGGTTGGGTGGGTGCATGGATATGCGTGGGGCCGTTCAGGACAAGTCCCCCAAGATGTGCCTCTGATATGCAGATTGTTTTGAGCTTAAGTCAACTGTAACTGCACAGAAAACTATTTTCTTTAATCTGGCCTTCACACAAGAAGATTTTATTTATTTTCAGAGAGAGGGGAAGGGAGGGAGAAAGAGAAGGAGAAATACGTATGTGTAAGAGAAACATCGGTGGCCACTTGTACGACCCCAGCTGGGGACCAGCTGGAAACGCAGGCAGGTGCTCTGGCTGGAATCTCCGCTAAGCCACACCGGCCAGGGCTCCCCTGGCCTTGTGAGCTCTTTCCTTTGACTCAAGCCAGCCTCGCCCCAGCGCCCCGACCCCTTGCTTAGTCATTAAGGCCTCAGGACAGCCACGTTCTGGTCAGTGTCCAGTAGCCTGAGAAACAAGGTTCTGTCTATTGACTATTGAGACAGACTTTTCATTCAAACTAAACCTACCATATTGGCCTCAAGATATGTGTTTTATCTCTGGACCCAGGAAAGCAGAACAATCCCACAAAACAAATCTTTGCAAAGTTGCACAGAACCACTCTGTGGCTGATACCAGGACGCAATGCAATGACCAAATGCACCAACCAATCAGCAGAGACCACGACTGTAGACGGGCTCCAGTAGTCATGGTGATTAATGATTTTTTCCCTGTGATTCGTTCCCTCCCCGGAAGCCACAGGGACACCGATCTTTGACCACAGAGCCACCTGGGACCTCAGGCACAGCACCGCCCCCTTAAGAAACCCTCGCTTTCTTGGCCACAAACCCCTGTTTGCCACAAACCCCTGTTCTTGTCTTATTGGGCTTTGGCGCCCACAGGCAAACAGACCCCTTCAATCTAGTAACTCAACTTGAGCTGCAGGCTCAAGAGAAACTTCTACCCCTCCCTTGACACCTAGAACTTGAATTAGGAGTCTTTCCCATAACAAGACGTTATCAGAGAAAACCTCTTTGGATGGACCCACGGCGCAGGGCAAACCGCTAATTATAAGCGTGCACGTCCCCTGCAGTGACGTTCTGAAGCCCGGCTCAGGCGTCACACAGCCACGCTCCCTTTCTGCCTTTGAACCTCTCACGCCCGCGGGGTCTCTGGCTCTCACCCGTGCAGGATTCCCGTGCACAGGCCCGCCTCAGGTCTAGCTCTTTGTGTGGGTCTTCATCCCCTTCCGGAGGCCCCTGTGCCGCGTGAAACTAACTCAGGTGAAATAAGTGCGCGTGCTGTTCTGCTGATCTGTCAGTCTGCTTTTCGGACCCACCCGGGGATGCTCCGGGGTTGAGGACAACGTTTTCCTCCCTGACGTTTCGCAGACCTGGCCAGGGACAGTCCCGTCCTCCGTGTTCCCTGACATTCCGCGACGAAAAGGGCGCCCCGAGCCCGTCCCCACCCTGCTGGGGTCCGGGGCCCCGCCCTCACCCGTGCTGGTGTAGTGGATCTTCCAGCCTGTGTGGTCCCCCGACTGGTCGGTAGTAAAGGTTATGGTCACGGAGTTGCTCTTGGTTTCAATCCTTTGGGGCAATACATTCCCACAAAATGGGCCATATTCCTTTTTGTCTGTTTGGATCTGCAAGAAGACAGGCCCCTGTCACTTCAGGGCCTTCGGGAGCCAGGATGAGGCGGGGGCCCCGGAGCCAGACCTTGAGGGAGTCGTAGGGGCATCGGCCTTCGGGGTGCGTCTCCACGTCGAAGGACTCCACGAAGTCCAGGACGATGCTGAAGCCCTCCTCCAGGCGGATGCTGTAGGTGCAGCTGGAGAGCGTGGGGTACGGCTGTGGGTACTCGGGGCTGCTGATCGCCCCTGACCGTTCGGTGAAGACCTGGCCCGAGCACAGGGCTGGGGAGGGGAGAGGACAGGGCGCGTGAGCCCGGCGAGGCCGCGTGGCTCTGCCTGCCTGTCCACACTCACTGCAGCGGGTGAGGCCCTGCGCGTGGCCAGCTCCAGAGGTACCTCCAGCAGCCAGGGACCCAGCCCCGTCGCTGAAGGGACAGTCTAGGGAGAGAGTTGCTCCAGCTCCCAGGCTTCAGCTAAAAAGTAAAAAGGCAACATATGGATGTACATCTCCCAGGGGCCTCCACGCACGACCCTAGGGTGAGGGTCCTGGGCTAGAGTCCCCATGGGGGGTGCGTGTGCTCAGGCGCAGGTGCTGCTGAGGGGCTGCAGGCACTAAGAGAAGGGATGGGGGGTCTCCTCATCTCTCAGGAATTTGAGGGGGCAGGTGAGTGTCCCTGGGCTGAGGGGCCCTGACCACCCCCCGACCCCAGCACTCCCAAGTTCATCCACCGGGGGGCTCCCACCCAGGCCCAGCCACCCCCTGTGTCTCCACCTGGACTGGTCAGGAGGTCAGAAGGGCCTCCCTTTGCCCACCTTCCCCGAGTCTGGGCTCTGCCCTGGGGAGCAGTTGAGAGAAGTTCAAATCCACACTGATCATGAACTAGTCAGGCGCCCTCTTCCCTCACTGGAGCAGCTGATTCTGTCCTCCCAGAGCGCCACCATCTTCCGCGGGAGGGGTCTGCCCCAACCGCTGCCCCCCAGGCCACAGCGGGGGTGTGGGCATTGGAGCCGGGAGGCTTCCAGGAAGTGAGGGGACCCAGCCCCGCCTGTCTCCCTGTGGCTGCCCCCCGTGGGCACAGGGAACTGAGGGACTTGCCCCTGGACGTGGCGACCAGGCTGCCCGCCAATGACTACTTCCTTGGGCCCCTCTTCTCTGGGTCAGGCTCCCCCAGCCCAGCACACATGGGGCCTGAGCTGCCGTGTGAACAGGAGGTGGTCCGAGGATGCTCAGAGCTCTGCCCCGGGGCCTGGCGGGGAGAGAGAGCTCGGCTCCCCTGTTCTGGCCTCTTCAAAATGGAGGTGCGGGGGCGTGGGGGAGCCCTTCTGGCAAAGGAGCTGTGGCCTTGTGGAGGGGGCATCCACCAACTAGGCTTATCCAGACTATGATGAGGGGAGGGACGGGGGGCCGGGGCGCCAGGGTGCACACCCGCCCCCACCACCCCACCCCAGAGATGCGCAGCAGCAGGTGGAGGTGGAGCCAGGTTTATTGTCAGTTCTGTGGGTGGCTGAGGGGTGCAGGCAGCCGCGGTCTCGCCCGGCCCAGAGCTGCAGCCAGCGGGGCTCGCTGCAGACCGGAGCCCGGGGGCCTAGGGGCTCTGCTCTGGAAAAGAGAACAGAGACAGGGAGGGAGACCAAGTGGGGGAGGCAGGGTCAGTGCCGGTGGGGGCCCCCACTCCCCAGCGCCCCGGGTGTCTGGCGGGGCACGGAGAGGCACCCTCGGGCAGTGGGGACCAGGACCTGGTGGCTTTGAGCGGGGCCTGCCCCCAGTCCTGAAGCTTTGTAGGGGGCAGCCGGGCCCGGACCCCCACGGCTCCACGCTGACAGCCTCCCAACGGAGGGTGCTGTATGGGGTCCCGGAGCCCAGCTGGGCCAGGTGCACAGTGGGGGCCTAACGCACGCCGATCAGTGAATGAGCTGGAGTGGAGTCGGGGAGAGCCCAGAATGGCAGGGAAGAGGGATTAGAAAGTGTGGGGGGACAGACGGACGGACGGAGGGGACAGAGGAGCAGAAAAGGGGCCGCAGCCTCCAGCCCCGGGGGCGGAACAGCCATGGCCTTGGGGAGGGGGGAGGGCTGGGCCAGGCCCAGGGCGCCCCTCCCGGCCACAGCTCACCTGAGCAGGTGCGCTTGTTCCGGTGGAGGACGTAGCCCGCCCGGCAGGAGCAGTAGAAGCCGCCCAGGTGGTTGTGGCAATGGTGCTCGCAGGGCGGCGCCTCCCCGGGGGCCACCTGGCACTCGTCGATGTCTGGGGGCGGGGTGGGCAGGCAGTCAGCAGGAGACGGGTGGCACCGGAGCCTGGGCTCAGGGCATGTCCAGCCTCATGGCTGACATGAGAGGAGCCCCCTCATGTCGGAAGGTGGCTGGCACCCAGCCAAGTGCCAGAGGCCAAGGGCCCCTGCCACCTCCCCACGACACTTGGAAGGAGAAGGAAATAACACCTTTTTAAAACCGAGGACAGGATACCTGTCCTGCTCAAGGTCCCCAGCTACTGAGGGGAGCAACCAGCAAAGGAACCCAGGGGACAGGGAGCGGGTCTCCCACACGGGTCTGCCTAGCTAGCCCTTATAGCAGCCTTGCGACCAGCACAGAGGGGTCGAGCCGCTCACCCAAAGGCACACAGCTGGTCCCTGCAGGGGCTGGAATCTGAAACCAAGGGTCAGACTCAAAGCCCGTGTGCAGACACCAGGTGCTGGGTTGCGTATTCTCAGTGCAGGCTGGCGGAGCTCCGCCTTCCCCTCTGCAACTGGGCGCACTTGCCCTCATGGCTCAGGAGGATGTCCCTGTCTCTTTTGGCCCTGGCCCAGGCTGGGGTTCAGTCCTGAGCAGAGGTCTGGCTCTTCTGGACATTTTATGGATATTTGCTTTGCAGATGTTGTCAGAGGAAGGAGGAAGGAGGGCGGCTGTTCTGCTGGTTTGGCTGCAATCCTGCCTCAGGGAGGCGGAAGGCTGAAGGGGGGCTGGCCCGGCCCCGTGGGTCGCCCCAGCCCCCCAGGCCTCCTCTCTGCTCACCCTCGGCTGCGTAGAAGGCCTCAAAGCCCCGGAACTGCTTCTCGTTAGAGTAGTCAGAGCGGAAGGTGACGTTCAGGCTGGGGCCCAGCGAGTAGAAGGTGTCGTTGCCCGGGGCCCGCTCCGTGTCGGTGCTCTCCCAGCCGCACAGCGTGGCCAGCACCTTGGTCCCCGAGCTCAGCTGTAGGGCCGGGGGTCACTGCGAGGGACAGCGAGGCCCAAGGCCTGCCCACCCTCTGAGGCCAGACCCCACTTCCAGGTGCCCCTGGCCAGTTCTTGGCCCTCCCCTCCCCCCAGGCCTGGCGGCACCTTCACAAAGTCGTACTCGCAGAGGTAGGACAGCTCCAGGTGGAAGTGGGTGAAGTAGAGACGCAGGCGGTAGCCCGGGGGTGCCGTCAGGGCCCAGTGCAGCTCCTGGTCGTTGGCATACTTCTCCGGGAAGCCGGGCGACGCTAGGCGCCCAAACACGGGCCTGGGCCACTGCGGGCCCTTGGGCGCGGCTGCCGAGCCCCACAGCAGGCCCAGGAAGATCAGCAGCCTGAGGGCGGGATCACAGCGGGTGGGTGAGGGCCTGGAACCCTGCTGGGCCCCCCAGCCCTGCCAAGGCGGCTGCGGGGGGCGCCTACCCACCTCATGGTGCGCCCGTCCAGCGGACCAGGTTTGGTCTGCATTCGCGCGGCCTCACCTTCGATCTGTTTGTCCAACGCCTGGCCCTGCCCCAGCCGCCCTGACCCTGGAATTCTGGGAATCGACCCCATGACTCCTGTCTGCCCAGACTGCGAGTCAGGAGGACAGGACGCTCCAGGAGCCAGGAGCTTGACCTGGGGGGCAGCCAGCCCTGGGAGCAAATCCCGGCTCTGCCCTGGCCCTGGCCCTTGACATCTGTGTGTTACCCTCGGTGTGCGACTTCGGCGGTTGCCCAGCTCTCCCGTGACCCATGATCTCCCCAGTGAGGCCCCAGGTGGAGAGGGAGGACGCATCCCCTTTTGCTCCCTCCTGGAAACTTGCCGTAAACATCTGAGTCCAGCCCTGGCCGGTCAGGGCGACTGGCTAGAGCATCGTCCCAGTGCACCAAGGTTGCAGGGTTCCATTCCCGGTCAGGGCACATACAAGAATCAACCAAGGAATGTCTAAATAAATGGAACAACAAATCAGTGTTTCTTTCTCGCTCCTTCCCCCACCTCTAAAAATAAAAAAAATAAATAAAAACAAACAAAAAAATACTTGGGTCCCCAAGGATGGCACATATGGGAGAGGAGGCAGCATCCATTCTGGAAGCTGAACAAACAGGTGGACAGGTAAAAGTGACCCCACGTTAGCGGTGAGATCAGGATTCAGCTCAGGAATTGGTGGCGCTGAGTCCTTCTGGAAGCGTTCAGAAGCCAGCCAATTCCTTTTTCCTACCCCCTGACTCCAGCGGAAACTTGTAGACTGATTTTTTTTCTTTTTGCAGGACAAAATAATCAAATTAAATACACACACGTGTGTGGGAACCCATGCGAGCAGGCAGAGACGCCATGTGCAGGAGAGTTCCCTGGAGACAGACTCTTAAAGGGCATGCATGGAGGGCCCCGGGCACAGCTGACTGGGAGAGGAGACAGACTAGCAGCAGCGTTGGGCAAATAGACTGGATACTAAGAGCCCAGGCTTCCTTCTAACTTAACGTCTGGAGCCTGGCAGCTGTCCAGGCTCCCCCCTGTTTCTGGGAAGTGGGACCAGCCCAAGAGGAAAGACCTGAAGATACTGACTTTGAAGGTTCTACAAGCAAAGGACTCAGCCGCCATCGCTCTCTGTACAGCTCAGTAGACAAGCCCCAGGAGGGTGCTTAGAGCTTTTTACTTTCCACTCTAATAGGACCGAACAGCAACTGGGGTCTTGCTGCGCCCCTGCCACCCTCGAGGCAAATTCCAGAGGCAAAAGTTTGGTGATTAAAAAAAAAGTCTTGGTTTGAGAGCTTCACAGTTTGGGACTAACGGTTTACCACGTGGAGCAGAAGCCGCCCAGGCGGTTGTGGCAACGGTGTTAGCAGGGCAGGCACCCCTAGCAAATAGGGCTAAACGCTAACACCTGAATTCTCCTACCATTCGCCTTGTTAGTTTTCGTTGCTTTATTTTTTTCTTTTCCTTTGAGGGACAGAAACATCGATGTGTGAGAGAAACATAGAGGTGCGAGAGAAGCATCAATTGGTTGCCTCTCAAACGACCTCAACTGGGGTTCCTGGCCAGCAACCCAAGCATGTGCCCTGACCGGGAATTGAACCAGCGACCTTTTGTCTTGGAGGCTAGTACTCAAACCACTGAGCCACACCAGCCAGGGCTTATTTTACTTCTATGGGGTTAATTTACAAACTAAAACAACATATGATACAAAAGCTATGCAATTTTGGAGAACTTTACAACACCCCTCCGGGACACCCAAAGAAGAACAGCCCTGCCACCCTCTGCCAGGCCAGCCTGACCCTAGGCTGCGCCGGAGTTCCTTCCCACCCCGAATACTGTCCATTTGGAAACAAGGCAGCCTCGAGGAAGAGAGCCAGAGAGACCCCGAGAGCCCATGGCCCAGAGGGCCAGCCCTCTTTTATTTCCAGGTGGTCTTCAGCTTCTCAGCCAACCCTATCCTAGGCTTTTCCAGTGCCTCAGTAAGCTCCTCCTACGGCCCCTCCCTACCTCTCCCCAGTGATCTGATCAGATCTCTCTATCACTGGCACCTGAGCAGGACATTCAGGGATTACCGAGGAAAACCTCAAACCTGAGAAAGATTAAATTAAAAAAAAAATCAACCAATCGATGGAAGGATACACAATAAACAAGGCAGGGAGAAGAAAATGACCTAAATGACCCAAACCCAAACAAAATAATCATTAATATCTTCAGAGGAGAAGGAGAAAAAAGAACAGGAGACTTTATCCTTTCCTTCATTCATAGAGAACACATATGAAAGCTGGGGACAGTGAAACAAAGGGCGGGTTTAGGGGAGAGGAAGCAACCGGAGGGCCCAGGCGGGGCTCTCTCTGCCTTGGTTCCATAGTAGGAAAGGAGTGTTAGCCACTGGGAAGTCAGAGGAAAGGGAGCCTGGGAGGTAGGTGCAGGGTGTTCGCCTGGGACGAGCTGCCACTGCCTGCGGCTCCCCTGGTTGCAAGCCTCATGGGGACCGCTAGAGTTCAGGAGAGCAAAGTAAAGATGCACGCCCGAGAGGGGAGAAAGGCGGGGTGGGGTCCAGAGAGAGCCTGCGCCAGGTCCAAGGCTCATTTTAAAGACAGCAATACATAAGTAATAAAAATGGAAAGGAGAGCCCTGGCTGCTGTGGCTCCATGGATTGAGCACTGGTCCGAGGAGCAAAGGGTCGCAGATTTGGCTCTCAGTCAGGACACATGCCTGGGTTCCTGGTGGGGGGCGCATGAGAGGCAACCACACCCTGATGTTTCTCTCCCTCTCTTTCTCCCTCCCGTCCCCTCTCTAAAAATAAATAAATCTTTTTTTTAAAAAATGGAAAAAAGAACCTCTCAAAATGCTGATGGGAGATTATTTATAGCAATTTATGTCCATCTATCAGGCATGAATGTGAATAAAGACACTTGCATGCATGTCAGATGTTTAGTTTTGTGGGTTGATGCCCAACCCACTGAGCCACACCAGTGAGAGCACATGCCAGGTCTTTAAAATTTGCATCCCTTGTCCCCTTTCTCAGAAAGCTACTATCAGATATGTTCCATCAAAACAAGGGAGTAAACCAAAAAATAGGAAGACATGGGGTCCAAGACACAGGAGTTCCAATGGGGAACTCCCTTAGGGGAGGTCTGAAAGCTCACGTTCTTCAGGAGGGCGAAAATGACAGAACACCTGTTGAGTCCAAAGAGCTTTTAAAAACATTTTTTTAGTAATTGTTTTTCTCCCCCCTAAATGAAGTGTTATATACATTTATGGTGCAAATCATTTTAACATAGAAACACATATTATGTTTATCAGTAGTCCAGTTACTGAATATTCCATTAAATATAATCACGAATTAATTATAAATTATAATAGGGCTAAGTAAAATAGTAAGATCTCATAATCAGCAAGTAATTGATTAGCACATCGTTCAGACCCTCATGAAGTGTGTTGTGTCCATAAATCTTAAGAGCTTTAGAGAAATGGTAAACCGTTTGGGGTTAAATTAGCGATACATTTATTGAAAATGAAGCAAATGAAAAATAATCTCCAAAAAACCTCCAAAGTAAAGGAAGGTGCGCCAAAGAGGAAAAGTTATCTTCACACCTCGCCCCAGCTGTGAATGGCATCTATGTAGTTGCAACAGTAAACACTGAATACTGAGCTAACCAAGATTGCCATTTAATCGTTGGGGAGGGGGGTGGGGCAGGGAAGGAGAAAGGTAAATCCTCACCTTCTCTAGTGGAAAACCCATGGACCATGGCTCACGCGGATGGGCTGAGAGGTGGTAATACAAACATGTTCCGCAGAGACAGGAAGGTAAGTACCACGGCCCTCAGCTTAAAGAGGTAAACGTGGCCACCTCCCAGAAGAAAAGCAGACGTACGACTACAACAACCTACGCAGAACTATTTGAATCCCTAAACCAGGGGCACGGCTGGTTTTGAGAGAGAACTAAACTTTACCGTTCTAGATAGGATTCATTTTATTCTCCATCCAACCCACGGCTTGTTTAGATCTCACCACGATTTCTGGGACTTTAGGGGCTCAGGCCGAGTCCTCACCGACCCCCTCCCCCCGACTTCTGCTTCAGTAGGTCAGTCTATGTCTGTCATGTGCACCCAGATGCAGGGTCCAAGGGGTGCACGTTCCAGGGTGCACGTGCGAACGGGAGGCGTTATTAAAGAGAGTGGGGAAGCGAGGGGATTTGCGTGTGGACTTCCGCTTCCAGGCGAGCCATCCTGGTGTCCCAAATGGCTCCGGCTATTTCTGCAACACAGGCCCTCCTCCCCCCTGCCCTCTCTGTTCCTAAATGCCATTCTGACTTTTCCTAGCCCTGTGAGCACCAAATGACATATGCAGAATTCTTAATGAAGCCCGTACCAGGCAAGGACCATCGCTCCCATTTGATGGCGGGGGGCGGCAGGGGGCCGGGGGGGTAACCAGGTCGGCAGCTATGGATGGCTCAAGGCCTCGGAGGGACCCCTCCACCTCCTGCCCACCTTCCCTGCCAGCACCCTTGCCTGGGTTGTCCTGAGGATGGGACTTCTTGGAACCCGCTTACATAGCAGGGGCTCTGGCGGCAGGGCCTCTGGGCGGGGTGTCCCTGCCAGAGCCCGGGCGGGGTGGGGGGCGGGCGGTGTTGGGCTGAGCTGCAGAGGCAGGCAGGGGTCAGCAGGAGGGAGTGGCTTTTGGAAGGCCAGCTACCTGGCCTGTCCGCCCCAGCCGGCTTCCTAGCATGCTCCCTAACGTTCCTGTGCAGGTTGATAGTACCTTCCTCACAAGTGGTTGCCCAGGTTAAAGGCGGGCTCGGGGTGGGTGGGTGAGCCCTCCACATCCAGCTACTGAATCTTCCTCTGCTGCTCCCTGCAGCCCAGACAAGTCTGGGCTTCATCTGGCCTCCCCGGGAGTGGAAAGACCCTGGGGCGCATGTGACATTGGCTCCCAAGACTGTTCCGGGATAGGAACTTGGGCTGGGGACGTTAGCTTAGGGTCAGGCTTGCTGACCAAGGTCACACATGAGGCTCCGAGTGCACTGAGGTCATGGGGCTGAGGCCTAAGGGTGTGGAAGCCAAGGGCGAGTGGCTGGCCTTGCGCCCCGCAAGGTGGCGCTGGCTGCAAAGCTGGCTCCATGCTCCCTGTCCCCCGCCCCAAGAGGACTCCAGTCCCAGCACCTGCTGACTGACACCCAAGGCAGCTGTCCAGGGTAGGGTTGGGACCAGGAGAGTTCTGGCATCACCCCCAGGCTGGAGCCACTCCCTTGTCCCCTCCCTGCCCCCAAACCGCTGGGGATAATCCATCCTCTGGCAGCGCCTCGGGGTTGGTGACCAAATCCTGAGACAGGAGTGGGCTAGAGGTCCCGCCCCCAACCTGCGGCCCATGGGGTGGCTCCTCTCAACCCTGAGACTCAGTCCTGGTCCCCAGGCGTGGCAGGGCGCCCGGGACACTGGCTGGCTCTTCAGCACCATGGAGAGGGCATAGACCTGGTGTGGCTACCCACACCTGCTCCCTCAGCTTCTCAAGGCTCGCGGGGAGCTTCTAGGAATTTACCAGAGGGCACCTGAGAGGTGCAGGCAGGATTTGAACCCCAGCCTGAACCCTCAGCCAAGTGAGGGCACCTGATGCGCTTCAAAGGCCACCGCAACCTGCACCCAAACCACGCAGCCAGCCCTCTCTGGAGCCACCTCCACCTCTACCCTGGGACTGTACCCAACGACCCTCCCGATCCTCCAAAAACACTGTGAGGCAGCCCCACCTTGACCTTGTCAACGCCACGGCCCGGGCCCCAGGGGTCTGCCACCATGTGCGGTGGGGCTGGGTAACGGAATGGCTAAGGTGGCTTCTCAGGACAGATTTGGGGTCCAGTTTGATGACAGCTGTGTTTCTTGGTGCAGGTGGTCAAGGGGCCGGTCTGAGGTCGCATGGGCATGTGGCAGACACTTGAAGGCCCAGCGCCGGGTCCAGCTCAGAGCCTGGCACTCAGAAACGCCCGATAAAGGCTATGACAACCCCTGCCTGGGCCCACGCAGGGTCCGGGAACACACGGATTCAGAACTTTGTTATAAATACATGTGTTTGGTGAGTGAGGGGTGACAGAGGGCGGAGACGGCGCTGTACGCGGCTGTACGGGCTCAGAGGCGGAACGCCACGGAGAGAGGCAGACAGTCCGGCCCGCGGGGCAGGCTGGGCAGCATTCTGGGGCCTGTGACGCTCGGTGGGTGGGTGTGCTGGCGGGGGTCTTGTCCAGAGCTCCCTGGCCCGAGGTCCTGGGTGGTGCTGGCGGCGGCACGTGGGCTCAGCTCACGCCATTCAGGGCCTGGTGGACACGAGGCCTCATCAGGAGGCTGTGGGGCTGCGTGGGGGCTGAGGCGGGCCCCTCAGGAAAGCCCGGGCCCCCTCCCAGGCCTGCCCCCACCAGGGGCTCACCTTGCGGGCAAACTCAGGCAGGACGAAGGCTGCCCGGTGCATGTCAGAGTTGTAGTATCTCAGCTGCATCTGATCAACCTGCTTCTGCGTCAGCGTCCGCACCGGCTCCTGGAAGTGGGTGCTCTGGGGCGGCAGGAGTGGGGCGAAAGAGGGCATCAAGGGAGTGCTCCCCGTGGCCACCTGCCCGCCCCCCTACCCCCGGAACAGCCTGGAGCTCACCGGGTTTTTGCTGCACAGCATGAAGCCGATCTGGCCGCTGGGGTAGGTGGGGATGGTGCAGTAGGCGTAGCTCACCACGGGGAACAGCGACCTGCAGAAGTGCTGCATGTCCTTGATGAGGTCCAGGTGCAGCCACTGGCACTCGCCTGGGGGGAGGCAGCATCAGCATGGGCACCGCTGGCGTGCCCTACCCTGTCCCGCCCCCTCCGGACCCCCGGTGCTTACCCTGGCAACAGAGGATCCCGTCCTCCTTGAGGGCTGTCTTCATGAGCTGGTAATAGGACTCCTTGAAGAGGCTCTCCGCAGGACCTGCAGGGAGGGGGGGTGAGCGACAGTGAACCCTTCTGGCTGAGACCTCCTGACCCGGCCTGGGCGTGGCTGCCCCGCTACACAGATGCCCACAGCTGCCAAGGAGCCGAGCCGGGACTTGAACCTAGGTCTGTGGAATTCAGAAACCAACCCTGAAGAGGGTCTAGGAATCCGCTGCCCCAGAATCTGAGGGGCTGCACACTGCAACCCCGCTCCCAGGGGATTCTCGCGGGCACTGCCCAGGGTTATCGCCACCCTGGGCCTTGGTGTAAAAGGAGGACCCACTTCCTCCCGGGTGCTGGCCTGTCAAGAACAGAGAGGAGGCTGAAGAGGAAACTGGGGCCTCTGTGGGCCAAGGCCAGGGCCCTACTCTCTTCCAGGTCCCCATCCAACCGTGAACTCGGGGCAGTGGCCTGGTCCCTCTGCTCTGCTGAGCCATGTTTGGCAGGGAGGTGACAAGCGAGAAGGGAAAAGCACTGTGCTAGTGCCGGCGGCCCCCTCTGTTCTCTACTCTGCCTTTCGGGCCTGGGGAGCGACGGGGAGGCTGGCTCCTGGGCTGGCAGCTGCCGGGGGGCCCCGGGCCCGCCCCGTGCTTACCCATGGGGTCTGAGGAGTCCGTGATGATAACATCGAAGGCGTCCTGGTTCTGTTTCATGAACTCAAAGCCGTCGCCCACGTGCAGGGTCAGCTTTGGGCTGGAGTAGCCAACGGCCATGCTCGGCAGGAACTTCTTAGACACTTGAATCACATCCTGGGGAGGGGACAGAAGGGGCCAGGCTGGAGCCAGACGGAGCCAAGTGGGACTCCCAGCAGTCCCTTTCGTAGCCCGGTCACCTCAGGCCAGCCATTTACTTCCTAGAACCCCGGTTTCCACATCTGTAAAACGGGGAACACTCTGCCACTTCCCTCACCTCCTCAAGGGGGGCTGGCTGCGGCCTGCTTCTCAGCTGAATCGCCACCGTTCCTGTTCCTTCCCCCCAGACCAAACCGCCCCATCCGAGTGGTTTCCTTGATACTAGAGAGGGTGGCGTGGGCAGCTTCCTCTGGCAGAGCCTTTCCCCACCTTCACATGGCCAGATGCCTCTGACTCAGGCCGGAGCTCAGACCCGCCCCCCAGGGGCCTGCCCTGACCAGCCTCCACCCACCCTCCATGCCTCCGTCATAGCGCCCTTTGCCGCCTCCTTTTTGCTGGACTATCAGCTCCAGTAGGAACGGGGTCTGCCTACTCACCACTCTGCCCCAGGACACAGAGCAGGGGCTGCCACATAGTAGAAACTCATTAACGACAAGCTTGTGCCCTAGGGGCTGGAATGTGCCCAGGCTTTGCCTGGGCCTTACTAAGGCCTAACATCAATGGCACACCTGCTATGTGCCAGGTCCGTTACTGTCCTATTAAATCCTCCCAATGTATTTGTAAAATGAAAAAAAAATCGGCCTAGAAATACTAAGTCACTTGCCCAAGGCTACACAGCCGGTTCACTGCAGAACAGGAACTGGAACCCAGACCCCAGCCGTGCTCAGCACACTCACCTCATCAATCTCGCACTGGACCACGGACTCCACAGAGGAATGCTTCACCACCTCCCGCAGGACGCCCCCGTCCCCGCCCCCGATGATCAGTACCTGGGAGGGGGACAGACAGTCAGGAGCGGCCGGGCACCAGCTCCAGCAGGAATGGAGGATCCCTCTGGTAGGCGGTGCCCTCGCACAGAACCGCCTGGGGTGGGGCGGGGTGGGGGGGGATGTCTTACCCCTCCGAGGCACAGACCTTCCTACTTTACTTGCTACTCTCAGGAACCTGGCCCAGCGTGTCCCCTTTCCCTGAAAACTCCTCCCTAAGCTTCAGGCCTCGGCCAGAACGGTGGCTCCTCCCAGACGGTGTCGGCGCCCAGCCTGCGAAGGGGGCTGCTCTGGCACTCACTCCCCTTGTTCCTGCTAGACTTTTCTGACAACCCTTTGGGAAGCGGAGCAGTGGGCACATGGGGGCAGGGGCTTCAGCACTGTCCTGTGGGCGGCGGAGGCACGGCTTTCCTGTCACCGGGCTCGGGGCTGAATCTTGGTGGGAGCGGGGTACCTTGCGAGGGTTGGGGTGGCTGCAGAGCGGCAGGTTGGCTATCATCTCCTGGTAGGAGAACTCGTCCCTTTCCGTGCACTGGATGACCCCGTCCAACACCAGCACGTTGCCGTAGCTCTTACTGCAGAGTGGGGTTGACAGTCAGGGACCTGGGTCCCCCGGGGTGGGGACAGCATGCCTCCACTCACCCTGGGTTAGAAGAACCTCCCCCACCCTGTGAAGGAGTCTCCGAAGTGAGTACTGGGGGTGACACGTGGCGAGGGCGGGCAGGCAGACCCGCCCGGCGGAGGCTGGGGTGAGACTCCCGTGCGACTCTGACGTGTCCCAGACTGACACGTGGAGCTCGGCGCGTCGGGTCGGCGCAGACTCTGGCTCCCTTCCTGCCGGAGGACCGCCTGAAACGCGAGCCCCCAACCCCGGGAACAGGATGCAGGGTGGGGAGGGGACCTAGGGAGCACATGGGCCTAGTCCACGACAACTTTTGACAGTTCTGCAGGTGGAGGGGCGGGCAGAGACGGCCCAGGGTCGTCGGAGGTAAAGGGCACAAGACGGGTCTGGCAGGAAGAGGGTGGGCTGGGCCGAGATCAGGACAGGAGTCCCGGCCGGTACGCGTGGGGGTGGGCAGCGGGTGGTCTGGGCTGCGAGCAGTCCTAGGGGCTTGGGGGTGCAGGACCGGCTATTGGTAGTACCTACCTGCGGAAGACAAGGATATCCTGGTACCGCGAGCGCTGATGGTGTAGCAGCTGCTCCACCTGCAGGGACAGGGCCTGGCCCGGCCACAGGCTGCACGTCTCGCGGAACCAGCCCTCGCGAATGGCAGCGGGGCCGGAGGCGGTGGGGCCGTCGGGGCCGGGCTCCATGGCGGGTGCGCTGGCGGGCGGCGCGGGGCGCGGACCCGGGACTGCAGGCCGCGCGGAGCCGCAGCACAACGGGACCAGCTCCGCCTGCCGCCCGCGCCGCAACCTAATCCACCCTGGGGGGCGGGGCCTGTTGGCAGGGGCGGGACCCACACCCTCCAATGGTGGCGCGAAGTGGGCGCGCGGCTACTCGGAGGCACCGCCTCCGCCGATGCTCTGAGCTCTCTGATTGGTCTTCGGTCCACAGCGCGGCGCCCAGTGGCTGTGGCGGGCCGTCTGTCCGCGGCATCAGGGTAGTGCGGCCCGCTCGGAGGGGGCCACGTGGGACTGGAGCCGGAGGGCTGGGGTCTGGCTTCCCGGCCGACCCGGCCGGCGGAAGGGGTCCAGGTCTCTCGCCCGGCCCGGCGCCGGCTGGAGCGGTGCAGACCCCGGGCTCCTGCTCCCTTCTCGGGATCCGGGAGGCACCGAGGGCCGTTCCTTGCCGCAGAGACGTCGAGAGGGTGTCTGACTCTGGAGGGGAAACTTGAGATGACATTTCGGCTCTGCGTGGAGTTTCCAGCGCTGAGACAGCTTGAACCCTGGAGCTGAAGAAACGGGAGCGGGCGGTTACACTGTCGGGCGAAGAATTACATTGTTGCGCAGAAGCGAGAGCAAATGTATCTCTCTTCGTGTATTCCGGTTTGGCTCCCTGTTGGTCTTGAGCGGAGTGTGCAATTTGTCAGGGGCGCAATTAGCGTTTTTATTTACTTGAAAGGGATCATCGCTGTCCTGCGACTTAAGCTTGATTTAACCTTTTCCCACTTAGACTACCTGAGCCATGGGTGTGTGGTAGCCGAACAAGAAAGAGTTCTTTTCTAAACGAGTTTCTAAATTTACCAGCAGTGTCCTGGAAGAGGCCAACACATGAATATTCAGCACAAGAGTGGCATGCGGTTTTGTTTGTTTGCTTGTTTATTTATTTATTTTTTGACAAACTAGGCCTTGCTTCTCAAGGTGGGTGGGAATGTGCTTCCTGTTTTTATGAAAATGTCAAGGAACTTATCAGAATCACATTAAGCATGCGAATTACCGAATCTTAAATGCTAATTGCTCTGCAAGCTAGTGCTTTGTATGCGAAGGAAGGGAGATGAGACTGGTGTAACCTACTGGTGACATGATGACAGGGATGTTTTTGGCTGGTGTTTTGCAGGCTCCACCTGGAGGTAGAAAGCAGGTTCCCTGTCTATGAACCCCAAATGAACAATACAATAGTGTTTTTCTGTTAGTGCAAGCTTCAAGCCTTACCACAATGTGCCCTGGTTGACTTGAAACTGTTTTTAAAGGGGAAGTGCACCAAGATTGCTAGGACACAGCTCTCCTGGAACTGTTACTGAACCTGGGGTCGTGTGGAAAAGGATCGCACAGCAGATAAGATGCAATCAACCAATGTGTCCAGTTACAACAGGCTTCATTGGCTCTAGCCCTGTACTTGGGCGTTCACATCACAGCCTGTACTTCCAACATCAAGACATTTATGCCTCTGACTTGTGATCGGCTGCTCAGTTCTGTGTACCCTGAGCCAGACTGTAAGCTCCCTGTGACTAGGGATAGTGTGTGTAGCTGGCAGCACTGGGTAAGAGACTGAGTGAAAGTAGGAAGCCCGGACCCCAGTCCAGGCACCTTCTGGCATCAGCTGACTTGGCTTTTAGGTGCTGCACAGCTGAACCCAGACCGTGGCCCTGGCTTTCCCGGGACACTGCACAGGGGGATAGTGGAGGATCAAGTCTATCCCCTCCCTCCTGCAAGATGAACGAAACTGTTCCAGCATGCGCATCCTCAAATGAGAAAGACCATAAATGACACCCATTGCCCTCCTGTAGAGGGGGTAAAATTGTCACCTCGCCTCAAGCATGAACAGCAAATAGGACTTCTAGGCCAGTGTGTATAGATAACAGTGCAAACTTTCCAAGCTCCAAAAACACAAGAGCCCTGAATACATTACAGCCTAAAAAGTCCCCAGATGTATGGGACCACAAGCCCGGAAATGTCACCCAACTTCAGATCACAAGGAGTTAAAACTGTAGTTCTCCCAGAAATTGTCATTGTTACACTGTCCAGTTAAATTCACAGCTAATGTGGAGAATTGGGCTGGAGAAAACCAGGATGGAGCAAGAACCGTCTCTGCAAAACCGGACCAATGGGCATCAAGACTTCAGTTCAAAGTATTACTGCCTAGTGGGTTGACTGACTACCTCAAACCCTAAAGGTAGATAGTTTATGAAAGGGGGAGAAGGGAAAGGTGGGTGAATGGCTACGACCAGGGTGGTTTAAATGGGGCTGCCGCAGAGGGGTGCGTCTGTTACTGGAGAACACTTGGGCAGTTAGCACTTGGGAGTCCTTTTTTCGGCTTTGTGTGCGCCCTGGCAGACGGCTGTGGTTCCGAGTGGGATGAGTTTGGCCATTTGGTGGTGGTGCCAGGTTGAAAATGCTCACAGCAGAGTGCCCCGGGCACCGCAAACAGCAGCAGCGCGCCTTCCGGACGGAGAGCCCTTCGCTCATCAGTGCTCCCCACCTCCCACCTCCGGAGCCCTGCCAGATCCCTCTTCCCGGGGCGCAGGCCCAGGCACAGCCTCCTCGGTCCAGAATCACTGAGCAGTTCCGCGCTAGCTCCCCCGACCCGCCACCCGTGCTTTGGGATCCAAGTACTTCCCCCCCCCCCGCCGACTTCTCCCCACGCCCCCAGGGCCCGTGTCTTCATCCCATGGCTCAATACTCCTGAACTTGAGGGTTCCATGGACCAGGAAAATTTCAAAAACACATTTGGGGACTAACATTGGGTTGCCAACTTTTTCTTTTCCAAAAAAGGACACTTAAAAAGATCTCAACTCCTGTCTATAGTCCCCCTCTTTATTTTTTTTAAATTAAAAAAAATTTTTTTTTAAATTTTATTTATTTACTTTTAGAGAAGGGAAGAAAGGGTGAGAGGGAGAGAATCAATAATGTGTGAGAGACACATGGGTGCTTCTTGCACATCCCCATGTAGGGACCTGGCCTGCAACCTAGGCGTGTGCCCTGACCAGGAATTGAACTGCCGACCTTTGGCTTTGCAGGCTGGTGCACAATCCACTGAGCCACACCAGCCAGGGCTATTTTTATTAATTTTTTAAAAAGATTTTATTTATTTACTTTTAGAGAGGCGGGAAGGGAGGAAGAAAGAGAGGGAGAGAAATTGCAAGAGATACATTCATAGGTTGCCTCTCACACGCCCCCATCCGGAGACCTGGCCTGCAGCCCAGGGATGTACCCTGACTGGGAATCGAACCAATGACCTTTTGATTTGCAGGCTGGTGCTCAATCCACTGAGCCACACCAGCCAGGACTGATTCTCCTCTTTTTTAAAAATGAAAACAAACATTGACAAAAAACTAGTAAGGATAATTTCTAAATAAAAGACCAGCATCATTTTATCTCTATTGAGAAACTTAACACACTTTCCTCCTTTCAGCCCTGGGGCGTCAACGGGGCGTCCAGTGCAGCCTTACTAAGCAAGGTCTGAGGCGCACAGCCTCGTGGGCAACAGTGGGTCTGGGCCTGAGCTCTCGTAGGAGCCACCTGGAGGGCTCGCTCAGGCCCAGTTCCTGGGCTCACCCCCACTCTATTAGGCAGACCTGGGGTGGCGCCCGGGCCCCGCCCTCGAACCAGCTCCCGGCTGGTCTCTCTCGGGGTCCGGGCAGCACTGACTGCCAGGTCTCGCGCCTGCCCGTCCCCTCCAAGGTCCAGCTCAGTGGGCCCTTCCTGAAGTCCCCTCAGGCCATCTGCACTAGGAAATACTTTCTTACTTTTCAAAATCTCTGTCTGTCCACTCTTGATAGCAGAGACTCTGCTGTCTTTTGGCAGACGGCTTGTTGTGCTTCAACGTCTGTTGTTTCCCAACTCTGTGACAGAATTCTGGATTTTTAGCTGGGCACGTGGGCACTGAAACGACTTCCCAGGGTCCTTGGCTGTGGCTGTGCGACTAAGTTCTGGTCAACAGGAAGTGGACATGGGCAGTTTCCTTTGAAAGGGAGGCTGGGTCTGGCTTCCCAGTTCCATCCAGCCGGCTGGAATGAGGTGCAATGGATGCAGCGAGGGCTGCTGCTCGGCCAAGGAGGTGGAAGGCCTGTCTGAGCAGCAAGGTAGGAGCCAGAGTCTGGAGGGCCACCGCCTCTTTTGCTAAGCCCCTGAGAGCCTGGCTGTTCTGTCAGTTTTGAGCATTCTGGTCCCCGCTGGCACAGAGCCCAGCCCACCTGGGGTGGGCTGCCGGCTGCTCTGCTCCACCCGCTGCTCCCCGGCAGGCACAGCGGCATCTGATTTGGCCGTGGAGCCCACAGGCTACGGCGGTCAGCCTTCTCAACAATTTGTGGGGAAGAGTTCTGAGAAAATAGGTTCCTTGTTTAATTATTTGTGAAAACCCAGAATAATGGCATTATTCTGTGTTTTCTTGACTTAATAGCCCATCTCAGGAGGAAAAGCAAATGGGATGCTAAAGACATAACCAGAGACTGATTCACAGATTTATACAAGTTCCATGCTGTGTTACTTAGAAAAGTACAATGGGAACCTCTGTGTAATAACGGGGGTTAGCTAAAATCCATTTTAGAATGAGAAACAATCTTCAAAGGTAAAAACAGTAGAAACAGAAACTCAAGTTTGTAAATTAAATATACGAGGTCTGTCCGGAAAAAGGCCAACCATTGTTAATATAACGAGCGGTTTGTGCAACATTGATGTAACCTGGCAGCCACGGAGAGTGGGCTAGAACGTGCGAGTGTGAACAAGGATGAGTTCACGGCACCAGTCAGTGGGGGCGGTAGACACTGTTCAGTGAGCATGTGTGCTCTGCGGCTGTCACATTTAAAATGAGTGACTAGAGCAACAAATCTGCATCAAATTCCATGTTAAGCCTCAATATTCTTCCGCAGAAACTATGCAGATGATTCAGAAGCTGCAGCTGTGGGCAACTGGTGACTGGCAGCTTCATCACAACACGCCCGCTCATGCATCACGTCTTATGCCGTTTTTTTGGCGAAACATCAAATAACCCAGGTGACTCAGCCCCCCTACAGCCCAGATTTGGTGCCCTGTGACTTCTGGCTTTTCCCAAAACTAAAATCACCTTTGAAAGGGAAGAGATTTCAGACCATCGATGAGATTCAAGAAAATATGATGGGGCAGCTGATGGTGGTTGAAAGAACTGTGTGAGGTCCCAAGGTGCCTACTATGAAGGGAACTGAGGAGTCATTGTCCTATGGACAATGTTTCTTGATTCTTTTATCTTTTTCAATAAATGTCTCTATTTTTTGTATTACATGGCTAGATATTTTCTGGAGAGATCTCGTATATACACAGCCCTGACTGGTGTGGAGCAGTGGATTGAGTGCTGGCCTGCAAACTGAAAGGTCACGGGTTCAATTCCTGGTCAGGGCACCTGCCTAAGTTGTGGGCCAGGTCCCCAGCTGGGGGCGTGCAAGAGGCAACCAACTGATGCTTCTCTCCATGTTTCTCTCCCTCTTTTTCCCTCCCTTTCCCTCTCTCTAAAAATGAATAAATATGAGACAACTGTAATAGAATAAACATGATTTAAAAATAAAAAATGAAAATAAAAAATGAATAAAATCTTAAAATATACACATTTTACACGTGTGCATATATACACATATGTATAATGAACATGTTATAATTTTATAATTGGCAGAAAACGGAAGTTAAAAAAAAAGAGGAGAGACAGGAACAGGGCAGGCCCAGGCCCTCCGGGAGCAGCAGTGGCTCTAACGCGTCCTACGGGCTCCTCCTCCCAATGGCGTTCTGACCCCGTGGCTTCCAGCGCCTTGTGAAGGCAGGACTATGGCCCCTGGGACCCTCCTGACATGGAGTCAGACGAGCGTCGCGCTCCCAGCCTTCCGGGTGCCGCCCTGCCCCAAGTCACCGGAGACCCCCCCTGGGTCCCCCGGGGGGTGGTCAGGGCCTCTCCGGGGGCAGCAATCTGAACAGGGTGGGCCGCCCTGGGACCCGCCCTCTCCTGCCAGCACAGTGGTGGCAGCAAAAGAAAAGTCGGGAACCAACTTTCTTCCTGTAAGAATTATTTTTAATGGTTTAAAAATGAGCCTGTACAAAACCAGCATTGCCCTTCAGTGCTTCCCATGCGCAGGGCACCCTTAGGCCCCTTCCAACACTATCTCTTCGGCCAGTTGTACCTGAAACCCCTGTGGAGACAGCGTGAGAACAGAAGTTACTTCTCCCAGCCTGGCTGCATGTTTGTTCTCAGCTGGTATGTAAACGTTGCAGGCCCTACTGATGCAGAACAGGGGGAGGGTGGTCTGTTTGGGGTCCTGGAGAGCTGAGCAGGGCAGCAGTGAGTCCCCTCCAGCTGCCCCCCACACCCCGCCCTCCTCCAAAGCCCAACAAGGGCTGGCTCAGCGGCCCCAGCTCTACAGGCAGGCAGGTCCCGGCTTCAGCACCCGCACCCTAGGGCTGGCTCCTCTAACTGCAGGGTCTGCTCTGAAGACTAGGGTTTCGTGCTTTTAAATAAAACGTTCAACAGAGATGACCCACAGTATTTGCATACTGATTTTTTTTTCTCACTCCTCAGAAACAGGCTTATCTAGGTAAACTTCAGTCCTATTTGCTCTGAGGTAACCCTAGAAACCATGTTGAAAGGACCGGAATGTGTCCTGGGACGCAATGGCATCCTCTCTGCCCATCTCCCTTTTCCCAAAGTCAATGAGGGGGATTTGGTCCCAAGAGGCTCTCTCAGCATCCTTCCCGCTGAAACGCCCGAGTCCTCTCCCACACACCTGTCTGACTTTCCCGTTGGAAAGGACATGCTTTTGTTTCCCATTGGCTGTTTAAGCTTCTTGGCTGCAAGACATTTCTGAAAAGAAGCACCGAAGATAAGAAAAGGTAAGACGGACGAGAAAACACGCCTGGGCTGAGAGGGCAGCTCCGAGACCCTGCGCCACCGGCGAGCTGGGCTTCCTGCAGGAGGGCCCGCAGGGGTGTTTCTGAGGCCAGGCCCACACAGTGAGCGCTAAGGGAACCAGAGGGCTCCACACGGGCCTCATGCGCCACACGCCACACCTGCAGCCCCGCCTGGCTCCTTCTGGCACCAACGCCCACGCAGGGCAAATGCAGGCTTGTGCCGGCACCAGAAGGGGTGTTGTGGCCTGCAGCTGCAATTCCCATGGAAGCAAACAGAGAAAAACACCCTTTCAAACCACGCACCAGCCTTTACAGTCTCTTAAAAATATTTTTCTAATTGCTGGAATAGTTGGTGGGTATGTCTATGCTTGGGAAGAAGTGAAGTGAGGGAAGAGACATGCAAAAGGATTCCTAGATGAACCCGTCTTCCCAGCAACGGAAGAGGTCAAAAAACAAGCGCCATGCACATGCTGGAATTCTCAGGTGTATTTCTTACCTTGCCAGACTGGGCCTGCTTATTTGGATCAAACTGGGAAGAAGGTTTGGAGTTGCTGTTTCCTGAAAGGTGAGAGAGCAATCATGTAAGTGAATTCAAACACACCACAGGCCCGTCCCTGGGCGGGGTGCGCACATCCTGGAGGTCTGGGCTGTCCGTTCGTTGCCCTTCCTGACAAGGGGCTTATTGGCTGATGTAAATTCAGGGGGCCTGCTCCCAGCACCGAGGGACAGTGGGACGAGCAGGCTCGCAGACCTGCTCTCAGGAGTCAGGGCGGGTGCTGAAGCGCAGGCCCCTTTTACATTGAGAGACCCGCTCTGGCCTCTGTGTGCAGGACGGCCCACGGGCGACAGCTGGGGCTGAGGGCAGCCCCGCAGAGGACGGTGCGGGTCGCCCTGCCCAGCCTCCTCTCTCGCCAAAGGGACAGGCTGGCAAGGAGGCCGACAGAGTCCGAGAGGCCACGAAAGGCAGTCGGGCCCTCCCTGGCTAAGGGACAAACCAGGGCCTCACCTCATGGGCACCAGGTTTTTTCTCACTATTTAAAAAAAAAACAGATTTTTATTTATTTTTAGGGAGAAGGGAAAGGAGGGAGAAAAAAAGGGAGACACACATCGATGTGAGAAACAAACGTGGATTGGTTGTCTCTCATATGCACTCCAACTGGGGACTGAACCTGCAACCCAGGCACACGCCCTGACTGGGGATCAGATCAGCGACCTTTCGCTGTGTGGGATGATGTCCAACTGAGCCACACTGGCCAGGGCAGGTTCATTCAACAAATAAGATCATTACTGTGTGTGTGTGAGAGAGAGAGAATGGTTTTGGGCACCAGCTATTGCGAGGAAGGGCGATGCCACTTTAGGACGGATGCCACTTGTGGAACCACTCCCGCGGCAGGAGGGCGGTGGTGGCGGGTGGGCGTCCTGTCCAGTCGCTGCTGTTTCTCTGGACTGACCTACTGCTTCCGGACTGGCGCACAGCGCGGGCAGGGCTTTGTCTGCACCTGAGTCGGGCCCTTCCTTTGCTCTCCGGCCACCTCCCACCTAACATGCGCAGACACCCCTCCCAGGGCCCTGGCGCTGGCCTCACCAGCAAAAGCCTTGAAATCCGACTTGCTGTAGTCATATGGTGTGAAATCTTTTTCTGGTGGATCTGGTTCTTTCAGCTTCTTGGAAATTTTGAGTCTTTTCTTCTCTTGTTTCTGTTCTGTGGTCCTTGGGTCACTTGTTGTCCGCTCTCTCTTCTTGGCAGCATTTTCTAGCTGTAGACAGAACATGGCCGTGGGAAGGAAGCATGGAAGTGCGGGAGAGGGGGTAGGCCCGCGGGCCTCCGCTGTGGGCACGCTGCTAGGGATCCAGGTGCCTACCGTATCGTCAAGATGGATTCAGTGATGGGGAGAGGGGTAGGGGCTGGAGTCTGAGCGGAGACTGACACCAGGCCATGTAAGAAAGGCGGGGCCAAGCCTCCCCACGCACTCCGGAGTGAAGGAGAAGGAGGAGAGAATGCTGTCTGCATCGCTGCCCGCCTACTGCTGGTCAGGCTGTACGGCCTACTTACGTAAACACAGCGTAAGCAAACGCCTCGGGGGAATCACGATATAAACTTTTTTGAAGGACAACGAGGCGGGCACTAACTGGCCAGCCAGAATGACCGGGAAGGACAAAGGCATGTAATTCGAAGCACAGGGTAGCCCTCCTGATACTTGGGGACAATCCTGACAATGACCAGGGATATCCTGTTTCTCAAAAGCAAAAGCAGAAAAGCCAGCACGTACTGCAGCCTGCCATCGGACGGACACGGCCTGCTCCGCTGCTGCTCTGCGCTCCCCGGCGGCCTGGTCCCCGGCAGCTGCGAGAGAGAGAGCTGTCGGTGGGGGTGCTGACGGGCCGCCCGCTGCGGTTGCCAGCGGAGGGGCCCTCCCGCTGCTCGGCCTCCTTGGCTGGTCCTACCTCCCTCCCCGGTCTCTGACGGAGGGATGGAAGGCCACCTCTTTCTCAGTCTGACAATGACGATGATGCCCCCAGACCTGCTCCTCTCCCAAGAACCCAAACCCACACACCAACGGCCTGTCTGATGTCTCTCGAGGACGTTTAGCAGGAATCTCAACCACAGCACGACGCGGACCAGAAACAAAACGTCTTTGGCTTCCAATAGGCCCCCTCTGCCACCTCCTCCTTGCATGGCAACCCTGCCTCCTGTACCCACAGTTCCTTCCATTTCCTCACATGTCACCTCAGACTCATCACCAAACGCTGTCGGCTATACCACAGGAACATCCCGTCCTGACCACATCCACCAGCGCCTCGCTGCCATTCTGTCCAGCCAGCATCCCCTCGCCTCCATGGCTGCCGCGTGCCCTGGGGGGCTGCCGCCCTTGCCCGCTCTGCTCTGCTCTCCACACGGCAGCCAGAGCCACCTCCCTAACGTGTAAGTCCGCTCACAGCCCTCCCAGGCTGCCCTGCTCGCCTGCCATGCCGTGCCTGCTGCGGTCCTCGCCCCCGGCCTCTCTCCTGCGTCCCCTTGGCTTCACCACCCGGCACCCCTACCTCTCTCTGCGTGGTGCCTGCGGCCGTCTGACAGAAGCTACGTTGGGGGTTTACTGTCCACTGTCCCTTAGCAGAAAGGCAGCGGCTGCGTCAGTTTTGCTCACTGCCGTACTTGGCACTTGCTCGACTGACTGAACAAACAGGATGGCGTGCCAGACCTGCCCTTCCACACACACATCGGACTGGCTGACTTTACAAGGAAGTGAGTGCTACCTGTTTGCTCAGCTGCCTTCTTCTTGGCAGTTTCCTTAGATTCTTTTTGTACCTGTACCTGGCTTGCCAGCTTCCAGCGGTTGCTGATCTATAATGAAAACAAACAAAACAAAAAAACTCCAAAACTCAGCCACCTAGGAATGCTTTATTTTTTTAATGAGGCGACGCATAGCATACTAGCCTAATAACTACACACATTCTAAGTCATAAATTCCAAATGTGGTGACACAAAAAATAAAATCTCATGCTGCCTTTATTTATAATGCTTGTTCCAGAGGACAAAGTACAACTGTTCTAGGCACTGGGCCAAGTGCTTTCACAGCATCATCCCATTCAGTCCCTCCACAGCCCTGGGAACAAGAGGCCCCAAGAAGCTAAACGACTTGTCTGGAGGGACACCACAGTTAGGAAACAGAGGGGCTGGAACTCAGGGCAGGGCTTCCGCAAGCCTGACATGCTGCCGTGACACGTTTACCTGCGGCATCGGAACACAGCCAGGGGGCGCGGATGCAAGCGGGTAAGGGACGTGTGGCTGAGGAACGTGCCATGCCCAGCAGGGAAGGAGGGGAGGAGGCGAGACCTCCACTGACCCCCCAGTTCTAAAACAGGCTGGCCGCCAGCGCAGGGCTGCGGCCCACCAGGGCCTCAGAGGGGGCCGGGCCACCCGTCTGACCAGAGCAGGGACTTCCTGCAGGGAGGGAAGAGGCTTTTAACAATTAACACGCTGGCTCCCGGGAACATCTCATGGGGATCCAGGGAAGGTGTTTTCTTATTCTTATTCATAATGCTGTTAAAAACAAACCAAACAATATAAAACAGAGTGTTTTAAAATTTAAGCCGTCACCTTCAAGAGCCTTAAAGTAATAGTCGTGTATAAAAATGCAGCAAGCTGTATACTTAACAACTATGTACTTTACTACATGTAAATTAAACCTCAATTTTGAAAAACAAAAAACAGACCAAAAAAACGCCCCCAAAGACCTGTTTCTTACAAGGTTCCCCAATGCTTCTGAGAACTGGATTAAAGTTCTGGCTCGTCTCTCTGGAAACAGTGCTTGTATACAAAGGATTTTCTGCATTCCTTTTCTGGGGGTTCACAGACGGGCTTGTTTAAAACAGAAACCTGGTTCAAAAAATTAAGACGTGCTCCTTTCTCCAAAAGTCTGTCTTAGAAATGACAAATCCACTTACTTCATAGATTTTCGATGACGGATCAAACTTTGCTGCCTGGGAAATGTGAGCATGGTGTTCTAGCGAAGGCAGAAACTGGAGAAATGGAAAGTCCCATTAAATGCTGTAAAAAATGGACTCTGGACCCAGAGTCCAAGGTGCCCAGTGGGGTTTCTGGTTGGTTTCATCTCAGGAGGCCGCGGCTCTAAGTGTCGCACTGGCCGCGGTTCGCTGGCACTCGCGTGAGGCGCTCCTGCCGGGTCCATCTCAGAAGGCCTCGACTCCCCCCGGACCCCAGGGACGACCAGCACACCCTGCAGTCTCTCTGAAGACCCTCCGCTTCCCTTCCAGGCAAACACACTGGCAGCCCTAACGGACTGTCACTTACCATTCTAAATGGGTTTTCAAAGGACTCCATTATGTTCTGGGCTTTTTTCTGTGCAACTGTTAATGGACCCTTTCTATTTTCTTCAGCACTAGGTTCCTGCAGAAACAGGAAATGATCTCTTACACCATAATCATTTCGTGACATTAAGATGCAAGCAAGACAGTAACAATGGCTAACGTCTGCAAGCCTCTCCCATGTATGAGGTGCTAGAATATCCTTATCCTATAGGGTATTTAATGCACTTTTTAATTTTTGTGTTTAGAGGACATTCATTAAAGCTGGGGACAGTGAAACAAGGGAGGGCCTAGGACAGAAGCAGCAAGAGGAGAGAGAGCCCAGCAGGGCTGCTCTGGCTCACGGAGCTGTCAGGGAAAAGGGGGCCTGGGAGACAGGATCGGGGGTGAGCCCGAGACGAGCTGCCGCCACTGCTCCCGTGGTTTCAGCTCTCACGGGCGCCCTGGAGTGTAGAAAGTGCATGCCTGAGAGGGAAGAAGAGGTGGAAGGGAAAGACATGGGCACCTAACACACTTTAATAAATCAGTGGATCTCACCATGCCCTTACACTCTATAAGGTATGTGGCATATATATACGTATATATTTTCTATCCCCACTGGCGGACATTTTCCTTTGCTTTTTTAGAGAGCGAGAGAGAGAGCGAGAGACAGACAGACAGACATTGATGCGAGAGACGCACCAAATGGTTGCCTTCGTATGCACCCAGACCAAGGATCCACAATGGGACTGGGGATTGTATGTGCCTGGACCAGGGGATTGCATATGCCTGCATCCGGCCCAGGGGTGAACCTGCAACCCAGGTACGTGCCATGACTGGGAACTGAACTGGTGACCTCTCGGTTATGGGATGGTGCTCCAGCCACTGAGCCACATGAGGCAGGGCGGTATGTGGTATTACTCTCACCATCTTATAGATGAGGAAGCAGAGGCTCGAAGTGGCTAAGAGAGTTTTCTGGAGCCTTAGACCTAATAAGGGCAGAACAAGGATTTAAACCCAGGTCTGTCTGCTCTAGAACTTCAGATTGTAACCTGACACTTACCTGGAATCTATAAATACGAACCTTTAAAACACTATAAACCTTTACTAGTGATCAGTGAAATTATGCAAAAGAATGTTGCTTTTAACTGGGTTCGTAAAATGTGTGCTATCCGTTTGCTTACTCCGTAGTTCCAGTCCCTGGTGCACAGAGCGCAGGGAAAGCACCGCCTCCCTGAACCTGCGTGGGCCACCTCTGTGCTCCCACGGCCACAAGTGCATGTCCACGTTGTGGGCTGCCCTGGTGTGCACTGCCCTGGTGGCGCATTAACTCTGTGGCCAGCTCAAGCTCCCAGACTTCTTCCCTCAAGAATTAGGGACGCAAGGCCCAGCCTAAGTTTATGTAATTCAGTGGGAGAGAGCGCAGTCTCAGGTAGCGAGTGCTGCCTGGCTGTGCCCCAGTGGCCCGGTGTGGTGGCCTGGCTGTGAACTGCCGTCCTGGAGCCCACCGACCGCCCAGCTCCCTGTCGCCTGAACATCTGCTAGGCCTGACACTTTTCTCTTTCCAAGCAGAGAGTATTCTTGGTTTTCTTTTTCTAGAAACTCTGATGTTTCCCTTCTCCCACATCTGGTGTTTTCAGTATTCAGAGCTTTATCCTTTCACCCCTGGCCATTCCAGCAATCATCCGCCCTGACCAGCAAGTGCACCTCAGTCTTCCTTTTGTAAAGAACATGTAGTTCAAGTCACTGGCCGAACTGAGAAGCCTGCTGGGTAGGACAGACTGGGATAAACTCTGTCACAGCCCAATGCACATTCCAGGAACACAGCCTGGCCCAGCCTGGCCACGCTGTCTCCAGACTGAATGGAGTCACTACCTGTTGGTACTCAGCCTCTTCCTGGAGTGGGAAACGAGCTCGATCCCACTTGCCAGTGCCTGCATAGCCTGCTCTTGATGCTTCGTCAAATGAGCCACAGTGGAGAGAAAAACTTCTCCAAGTTTCCTCTTTTGCATCCAGTGCACCCACGGGTGGGCTGCCCCCCTCAGGGAGGTGTGCACAGGACATGCTCCGCCGCCCATCAGAGGGCCCCGCCCACCCCGCCGGGCATCCAGCGGCTGCACGGGAATAGCGCTGCGCATGCCACCGCAGCCCATGCCCTCCTCCCTGCCAGCCCTGAGTGAGTGTCATGAATACAATTCTTGCTCTGGCTCAGTGGACTGAGCACCGGCCTGTGAACTGAAGGCTGCCGGTTGGATTCCCGGTCAGGGCACATGCCAGGGTTGTGGGCCAGGTCCCCAGTAGGGGGCGTGTGAGAGGTAACCAGCCGATGTATCTCTCACACATCAATGTGTCTCTCCTCTTTTCATTTCTCTAAAAATAAATAAAACCTTAAAAAAAAAGAAAAAGATTATAATCCTTCCTGGAGGATTTCTTTACACCGAGCTCAGAGAGAACGCTTCACCCACCTCTCACGGACCCCACTGTCCAGAGGGGCAAACCGTCTCGCGTGCTGTCTCCACGCCAACCCCACTGCCGCTGGGTGTACTCGCGGCGTTAGTCACAACGGCGGAAGCAACCCTCCAGGCATCGCCACCCCCCAAACCCCGGCAGGTCTGCATCACCTCGCTGCCACGTCCGCGTTACTCACGCTAAATAAAGTGATGACAGCGGAAGCGATGAGGCATTTGGAATCCAGCAGGGCCTTGTCCTCGCCTCCCTCCTCAGGGAAGAGGCCGGCCTGTTTCTGCGTGGGCACGGGCCCTAGGGGGCGGCAGCGAGCCTGGTCAGAGCCCCTGGGGGTGGGCCGGACGCCGCCCAGCCTCCTGGGACTCCTGGGGCCTCCACATTACCGTTGGTCGGGATGATGCGATAGCCGTCAGAAGGGGCGTGGGAGCAGTCGTGAGGCCCGAAGAGAACATTCTCCAACCTCTGCATCAAAAAGAAACCAACAGGCAGCAATGAGGCACTCGCAGGCCACAGGCGCTTCTGGCGCAGTGTCAGGCGCTGGCCAGGGGGGGCAGTTCGCTCGCACTGGCTTGGACTGGTTTCCCCCACAGGAAGAGGCGGTAGACGCGTCACCCTACCTCGGGATTGGGCAGCGGTCCACTCTTCTTCACGCCAGCTGCAACTTCAGACTGCAGGAGGGAAGCAGAGACAGTGGCAGGCGAGGCCCGGCCGGCGGGCACACGCAGGCCTTCCCCGGGCGCAGGCTGAGGGCCTTCACTAGACTGCGGTTTTCAGGAGCCCAGAGCCTTTCATGCCTTCATCTCTCCCAGTGCCTGGCACTGAAATTACTCAGTGCTCAATAACTGCTTGCAGAATGAAAGAATAAAACCCTTTATCACAACTAGGCACAATACAGAAGGACTTCAGAGAGCCTGAAAGATTCTCCTCTGGTAACAAGGGTTTCTCTTTACTTGAACAAACTGTGGAGCTAAGAGATTTTAACAGGAAGACTAAATGTGTTTATCCCCAGAGTGTCTTTTTTTTCACCTCAAGGCCAACAATTTTAAGTCTCCCTGAAGCAAGAATCTTCCAAAAATTACAAACATGATTTAGTACATATTGATAATACTTCTGAGGCAACACATTAAAACTATCCCAACACAACACAAACCAAACTACCTGAACCTGTAACACTGACACAGGAGCACGCACGCAGACAGACACGCACATGTGCGCACAGGTACCTGGGCAGCATACACTCACTCAGAGACAGGCGAGCTGTATTTTGGTTGGATTTCCTGTTTCCATCTACATTTGTCTAAACTCTAGGCTCTCCTTCGCAGACGCAGCATTTTCTGAATCCCCCAATTCTACCCAAAGTTCTCCTGTCTTCCCAGTTACTTGGGCTTTATATTTGGAGTGAGCTTTCTTTGACTCCAGTTCCATTATCTCCCAATCCACGAGCCACTCAGAGGACACCTCTACAGCACTCAGCGCAGCATTCAAGGAGAAATGGAAGCCATGTTCACCGTCAAGTGTCTCTCCTGACAGTGCTCCTGCACCTGCCCGTCCCTTTCCATCTCTGAGGCCACCGCACTCCTCGGGGCGCTACCACTCATATGAGGGCCATGGCCAGGCTTCCAAAACGAGCTCCCTGCCCTGAGATCCCCACCCCCTTCTGTCCCACCAGTTAACCACCTCTGAACGGGTAACTGGCCCAGTCACTAGACATTGCTTGCTGTTGGATTATCAAAAATAAGGTCCTAAGAAGGATAAGCTCTAGCCATGACTATCACAAAGATGACGCACCCACTGAATTTCCTAACCCTACAATCTCCTCGGGTGTTTCCAAACGGAGAGCAGGCCGTGTATGTAGGAGACTACGAGGAGGAAGATGCTGACAGACAGAATGGGCCTGCTGAACACCGTTGGCAGAAGGGCTTCCCTACCTTGAGCAGGGGCATGTCTCGCGCCTGCTGGATTAAAAGGTGCATTTCGTTGATCTGTTGCCGCACGAGAGGTGGCACAGGGTTGCAGCAGGCTATGATGCCCTGAGGTTCCCTGGAGACAAGAACACACGCAACTCGTCGCTTAGGAACAGAGACCTCCCAGGCCTCTGGACAGGAACAATGGTACATGGGCCGGACCCATGCACTACAGCGAAGGGGAGAGGAAGGTGGCAGGGTCCCACCAGAGCAGCCCGCCGGCCAGCGCCGCTGCTGCGCGAGAGCTGGCGGGCAGTGCCGCGGCGCAGCTCCTGTGCAGTTCTGCAGCGGGGCGGCCCCAAGAGTGTGAATTTAGGTTCTGTACTTGTACTTCAGTTTACATCATAAAACATTCACAACCATGAGATGCCTCAGTTTGGAAGAAAGTACAGATGAGAAAGTCCCTTGGGAGCGGATGCCGATGCCACAGGCTCAGAGGCTCACACTGGACTCAGCATAAGGCACAACCTTGGACACGTTCCCGTTTGGAAGGTTCAGCTCCTAAGAGGCAGCCCGAGGGCACACACTAAAGTCCTTGGACGTGCAAGCTTCCTCAGAGCGCTAATCTTCTCTGAGTCAGCCTTGAGGTAATGACAATCAGAGAAGCTTGGCTCTGAAGGGCAAAACTTCTCTACTGAGAAAGTCAGAACATACTAATCGGTTCTCAGACTCACTTAGGCAGTTCTTCGGCTATCTTTAGCATCATGTGGTTTGGCAGTACATATCTGGAACAAAACACACAAAGGGTGAACCGCATTAAATTCAGCCAGCCAGTTCCATTAAATGTAGTAACCCAGGGGAAAATGTAACCAACTTCCAGGGTGAACAGAAAAAGTCTGTTATTTCCTTGTTACCAGGCCTGCTCAGTCTAAGAGAAATAGTAAAAGAACCTCTATTCCCTCACCCATAACTTTCGTCTTCCCTCCGAGCGGTTTTATCCCTCCAGGCAAACAGCAGCTTGAAGGCTGTCAACTGCTGTGTGTTGAGATGCTTCTTCTGCTTCCTGTAGAGTTCAAGGTAGGACTCGTCGGTGAAGATAGGTTTGATGAATTTCTGCAAAATGTTACAGTGTATTCAACATCAATAGGAATCAAAATGGCGCCTTGGGCTCTTCAAACATTTGGCTCTTTTCATCAACGTAAGAGCAGAGGAAAGAACGAGGACCTCATCGGAAGGAAGAGAGGCCCAAGTCTGTGCGGCCGGCGAGGTTTTACCTTGAGGCAGATGTCCCTGCTCCGCTGCCACACCACCTGCAGCTGCACGGGTTGGCCGTTGCCTCGCTCCCACAGCTCCAGCCTCATCTTGTCATAGATGTAAAGCAAGTAATGGGTGTCGTCCCGGGCGTAGTTGAGCATCTCCTCGGGCAGAGGCCTAGAATTGCAACATAGGACACTTTCACTAACTTCCCCTAGGAGCAGCAATGTAACGTGTCTGCTCTGTAGGTGCTCAGACTCACTTGGCTCCTTTTGCTATCAAAGACTCCCTCACAGCCAATACAATAGTTGTATCAACCTTCCCTGCATCTTACTATGACAAGCCAGTGCTTCCCTGCTGAGTAGAAAAGGCAGCAGAATAATGATGTGGTTGAAAGTAAGGGCTCTCTCGCCCTGGCTGCTGTGGCTCGGTGGACTGAATGCTGGCCTGCGAACCACAAGATCACCAGTTTGATTTCTGGTCAGGGCACGTGTCCAGGTTGCAGGCCAGGTCCCCCCTTGGGGGTGTGCGAGAGGCAACTGACTGATGGGTCTTTCGCACATTGTTCAAATTTCTCTCCTCTTTCTCCCTCTCTTCCCTTCTCTCTAAAAGTAAATAAATAAAATTTTAAAAAGAAAATAAGTTTTCCTAGGTTTGAGCCTTAGCTCCAGGTATCTGACCTCAGACAAGTCACCTAAGCCCTCTGAGTCTGTGCTCACTTTCCGTACCTGTAAAATGGAAAGGCTCCTCTTAGGCTGCTTTGAGAACTACACAGGAAAACATCCCCACAGTTCTGAGCTCAGTGTGTGGCACATGGCAAGGGTTAAATAACAGCTTAGATTTTGACTTTTAGATTTTGTCAATTTCCATCTTCTATTTGGACTTTAGATTCTATTTAGAAATTCTGGCATGCAGAACTGGAGAAAAGTTTAGTGGCTTCTTTGGACAAGAGCTCTGCAACCCTAGAGAAAAAATGACCCAGCTAAGCAGGAAGTCCAGAAGTGTGGCAGGGCCCCCTCACTGTCACAAACCCTCACTGCAGGCTACATCAGCTCCATGCCTCGGGCTCTCTCACACCTGCGGATGACCCCTCTCACACACGTGCAACCACCCCTACTCGGGAGGTTAGGGTTTCAAACGAGACTGGCACGGACGGAGACTGACATAGCTCATCTCCTTCAACCACTATTCCACAAAGCCCAGTGTGACACAGCGCTGTAAGATTCCATGCTGGCATAATACTAAAACTTCCAGTTTCACTTATGCCAGTAACAACAGCTCAACTCCAGACTCAAACAATGTTACAGGCTGAACACAGGCCCCCACAGATGAGGTCAACGAACACCCACACCTCCTGCACCTTGAAGCAAACTGACCGTATTCTCCAATCAGCCAGCTGGTACTGCTTGTTTGATTCCACGTTGCAGTAGAGTTTCAGTAGATGGTCGAGTGAGTGCCTGCCCAGGTTAAGAAGGCGCGCTGCCTGGTGTGTATCAAACATGTTCACTACGTACAATCCGAAGTCTTTCTGCAGCCATTCTATGTCTGAATCGGCACCATGGAAGACCTGAGAACAAAATCAGAGTCATGCTGTCACTATGGGAAAGGCCATTTGTGCTCTGACGTGAACTCTGCCTCTAGGTTATTAGAGCAGTGGAATTAGAAGCCAGAAGGAAGATTGAGATGGGCTGAGTTCTAAATGCTTCTTTAATTTGGGCCCCAGTCTTCTACACTCCTAATTGCGCACTCTTAATGTTTCCTAACAGCCAATGACTCTAAGAAAACAGCTCTGCCTGCTTCGGGGGGAGCCATTAAGCTCACACCGTCCTGATGGCACAGGCTTACTGCAGCAGCCATTAAAATGATTTAACATTCTTCTGGGTGGTAATGAGCTAAGTCTTAGCTACTTTAACGGGGGTTTAGAAACAAAAGCAGTTTAGTGCACGGTGCCCTAGTGTAGGGAATTACAATCATTTCTCTTAATTTTACTGGTCTGTGTTGGAATAATGCAATGGTAAACTGAAAAGCACTTAAATCTTGCATTCACAGGCAAGAGCTGACAAAGGCTGGCTGACCTTGACAATGGCTGGGTCCGTGAGGCTCTCGTTGAGGATGTACATGTCACTTCGAAGCTCCAGGGTGTCAACGACGAAGTCTTCTGTGCGGGTAGAGATCTGCATGAGGCAGGTCAGCCCGAGGAAGCTCCGGTAGGAGTGGTGCTAAGTGCACGGAAGAGGGGATGGGAAAGAACGGATTTACTGGCCGTTTCTCCACTGACTTTGAAAAGTCAGTTACAAAACAAAGTGTTAGGATTAAGTACTTTTTTTGCCAAAAAAAAAAAAAAAAAAAGACTTAAATTAGTATTAATTTTGTAATTCTCAAGTAGGGGAATTGACAGATAATATAAAAATTTCACAAGTCATTTACTAGTTACCTCCAAGTCTACAGCAAATTCTTGACAATTCAAGAGCTTTTCGTTGAGTTCCACTAGTTCGTCCAGGGAGGATACAAAATGGCAGGGTGTTTCTTCCACAGGTCGATATAACTGGGTCACAGAAGTCCAGGTGGGAAAAAAGAGGAATATTAAGAATCATCCCTCACTAAAGCACAAAGTGAATTAAGAGTTCAAGAAATGACCCAAAGTTATAACTTACTATTTTAAAGATGTTTAAGGAAAGCCAATATGACATCAACCGATCTAGTTATTTGGCTCTTCCCGGGCTACTCTGATACCACCCACAAACCAGGCTGGGCACTGACCTGCGGCTGTGGCTTCTGAAGGGCTAAATCTGGTGGAGTGAAGTGATCTAGTTCATACTGATAAGGATGTGCAAATCTGAACAAATAAGACAAAAAAACCCTTTTTTGGTTAATTCCATGGTTGGGAAAAACTGCATTAATCCAATTTGTAAAAACAAATGAGAAAAGGTCATTGTGATAATATTTTCTCTCTATAAAAAGCATCATTATTTCAATGGTATTCAAATGCATCAAAAAAAAATCAATTGATACTTGCTTGCCCTTAAAGTTGGATAATTAAAAATCTTTTTCACTTATAAAGACTTGAGCACTTATTTGCAAAACTCTGTGTGATGGAGGGTGGGGCAGACATGGTTGTGTGTCGAAGGGTGTCTCCTTTCTGTTCCTGTGTCATCTACTTGTATAAAATCCTGAGTCTCTGTGGGCCTGAGGGCGGGGCTGCCTCGCATTACCTTTTTTTCTTTGTAACCTGTGGCCTCACAATGCAGAGTTGGGGCTGAATCAATGCTCTGACTGACTGGCTATATGTGAGAAAAAGACCACTATTAACCAAGTTTTCATCACTTTTTTCCTTTATTCTGAGGGCAGAGCCTTTTTGTCTGTTTTAAGCAAAGTTTTTCCAAAATGCTTATGCTGCCAGTGAAAAATGCCCTTTCCTTACTGAATTTATTAGTGAGCCCAAGCTTACTGTTTAAGTCCCCACCTAACAAGAAAGACAGAAGGTACAGAGGAAGGAGAACTTTACGAAAACGTGGGTCAAAGTTCCGGCTCTGTGGGATGTCAGCATCTCTAACTCGGGTTTCCCAGGTGCGCAGCAGGAGGGGAGCACCTGCACCGCAGGCGCTCTGCACACACAAGCAGCAGAGCAGGTGACAAATCACCTTGGTTCTTTGACACATTTTACGAAAGTAAAACAGTGAAAGTGTGGCATAAAGACAAATGTGACATAACTGTGGCCTGAAGGGAGTTCAGACAGGCAAACACTTACACGTCCTGCTCCACCTGCTGGGTTCTCTGCTGATGGATGAAATCCGCCAGAGCAGGGGGGACGTCCAGGTCCTCAGGACGGTCCTGCGGGCGCTCCCGCCTTTCTTTGGAGAGCGCTGGAGGCCCAAGCAGTGACAAAACATCACACAAGAGGCAGAAATGTTCACCTGCAGGCTAATGTTTCTCTTTGAAGAAAAAAAGATGGGAGGGGACCTTCTCCCCTTTATTTGTTTTTGTCAGGCAGAGTTTGCATGACTTACCCTGAGGGAGTGGTTTCTGGGCGTTGGGCTTGATGAAGATTTTAGGACGAAATGGCGTGTTAGAATTGTCAATCTTCTCTCGGAATTTAAGCTGAGGCCGGATGATGTTTTTTGCATGAAGCAGCCGGAAAGTTTCAGATTTTGTTTTTTTGTTATATTCTCCCGCCTATGATCAACAAATACAATTTTTTATAACACCGCAACTTGACAAATTGAAAATAAATCCCAATTTCTGCCTTCCAAGGAGAGAAAAGCATTCCGAGCGCCATTCATTTAAGAATATGTGTGTGAGACTGGCAGGTACAAAGTTGAGAACAGGGTGTAATGAAGGTGTGTCTGTTTATGAGAATGAGTTAGACAGTGGCCAGTTCTGCATCCAACAAATTAGAACAGAAATGAAAATTAGAATGGGCGAACGCGGACATTAGGTGCTCTAGTGAATGTGAAAAGCAGCTCTCACCTTCCGGTTCCAGCTGGACACTATTGTTTTGGGGACCTGCAGTCCTGCAGGAAGAATAGGCTGTTGATTCTTATTCACACCTGATGCTTCATCCAGTAAAATACCCTAAGAGTAGAAGAGCTATTAGCTTAATATCTTCTTTGAAGGGTTAAAAGAGCTAATTACCTAAAAATTTTAAGAAACTATTCAGAGAATTGTAAGTGAGAATAAATACATTAAAAAAGCAGATAATTAAAGCATTATCTATTCAAGGGGACATATCAGCCACTCCCACCCCTTGTTCAACTCCCTTTACAGTTCTGAATTGGGCCAAAATCCCAAATCTGATTTAATAGTGTAATGTGGCCCACTAAGCTAATTAAAAAGACCCTAGGCTGCATACATTAGACAGAGAAGGGTGGTATTTACAATGAGAGCGAAGGGTGTACTGATGTGCTTTGTGCTGTAGAAGCAGACGTGGAGTATTAGGTGGGGCGCCACTGACACAGAGGTGCACCCAGGTGACAAATGGTAGCACGGCAGGGCGTGCAACCATAAAATATGAGAAACCACTGAACTGTCTGTGGGCAGTCAGGCTACAGAAGAGATGATTTTATGGGACAGGAAAGCATGATTTAAATATCTGTAGGACCTTCCTGGGCTAGGTTTGTTTTCGACAATCTCTGCATATTTCTGTAAAGAACATTCTGCTGCGGAATTAGGGATAGGCAGTAAGCTAGATAAGTGATCCACATATCTTTCCAATCATGAGTTAGGGTGTTTAGCAGATTGTGAGTAACAGTAAAAATAGACTACATTTTGGTTGGGTCCTGCATCCAGGGGCCTCTTTGCTTGCAATACAAACAGGATTTGCAAATTTGGAAGGTAGATTTACAATGAGGCACTTTAAGAATAAGCTTCCTTGCCCTGACTGGGGTGGCTCAGTGAGTTGGGTGTTATCCTGCAACCTGAAAGGTCGCTGGTGTGACACCCCATCAGGGCATGTGCCCGGGTTGCAAGCCAGGTTCCCAACTGGGGGCGTGAGAGATGCGACAGATTGATGTGTTTCTTGCACATCAATGTTTCTCTCCCTCTCTTGCTCCCTCCCTTCCCCTTCTCTAAAAATAAATAAAAATCTTAAAAAAAAAGAAAACAAAAGGGCTCCCTCTGGGCAGTGGTATTTTGAGGTGATATACTTGAAGACAGTTTGTTATTTTGGTGGGGAAAAGTCAACTATTAGAGGAGAGGAATGTTATTGGCAGGAAATGCTAAACTTCCTTTTAATTTCCTAATGTGCTTGGGTTTCTTTTCATTGTTTGATAACATAAAAGCTCTTCATTTGTTAGATTAAGGGTAAGGTGCAATACTCACCACTCTTTCCAAAATAACATCATTGGTATCAACAAGTAAATCAAACTTGTCCTCCAACTCAGTCACTTTACTTCGATCCTTAATGTTGCTTCGGCACCCATGGTACTGCATTACCTTGCTCATGCTAAGGACAAGAAAACCAAGATTAGTTCGTATACTTTTATTCATTTGTTTACAATCTGGGAGAAAGCTTGAAAGGCTTGGCTCAGACCATGCCCAATACTTTATGGTCAAACTTGTACTCTTACTAAAAACATTGTGTGGCTTTGGACAATTCACTAAATCTCACTTAAACTCATCTGTTAATTGAAGGGGTGGAAGAAGTTACCTCAAAACCGCCTTTAAATTCTAAAAATATGTAATACTATATAAATAACATACTCTGCAGTCACTGTTTTAGCAAGAACTCTAAAACATTCCCCAAATATGTCATACAACAGCTAGACAAAATCATGGTGTTGTCTGTCCTAAAACACTTATTAGAAAGCTAAAACTTGTTACTTTGTAAGTTGTATAAGAGAATCTTGGATCTAGGTTTTCAAGTCCTACATTAATTCAAAAAGATTCATTGTCTGTAGAGGCAAAAGTCCATATATTTTAAAAGTTAAACTCAAAATTTACCAAGTAGTGTCTCCCTAATCAAAATCCATTGTTTCTTTACATTTCCTACCTCTTTATATCACAAAAAATTATGGTAAAAAAACCCACACAAATTTCAGGAAATTACATATATATTTTTCTTTACAACTTACTTAAGCATGCATGAGTTTTAATGATCTATATTCATTTCTTTCAACATGAACCGCCCCCGCATCCAAGCATTTAGTACTTACCACTGAAGCAGCCTATCTCCCTGTGTTTCACAAAATGCCTGGAAGCCAGGAAAACTTCGGTAAAAATCATACTCATCGCCGCACTGTGGTAGGCCCCCAGATGCTTTGGTGACTGCCACGACTGACCCAAGAGCAAACTGTCAAAAACCAGAAAAACAAGCCTGTTTTAAACATGGATCCCCATTCATTCAGAGACTTTTCCCCAATATCTACTATATATAACACACTGCCAGATGAAGAAGATGTGCAATCCCACATACTTGGTTAGTGTGGATTTTACCCCAGGCCCCGAGAATACAACACTGGACATGAAACCAAGCTCTGGAGCTTCCATTCTTGGGAGAGTAGGGAGAGAAAGAACAAATACATATATAATATGACTAACATTTGAAGTGGCCTGCGTTTGAATCTTGACTCAGCTACCTATTAACTGAGATCTTGGTTACGTTATTTTATTTGGACCTTAGTCTCCTACTCTGAAAAATGGACATAATAAAAGTGTCTACCCTATAAAATTGAGAGGGTTAAATGAACTAGTAAAATCACTTCAGATAGTGCTTGACACATAAGTGCTATTATTACTATTACTAGTCAAATTCAGATCCATGAGTTTCTTACAGAAATTTATTTTTGTGTTTTCATTTGGCCAAGCATCTCAAAACTATATAAAGCCCTGGCTGGGTGGCTCAGTTGGTTGGAGTGATGCCTTGTACACCAAAAGGTTGCAGGGATGATCCCTGATTGGGGTGCACAAGGGAGGCAACAAATCAATGTTTCTCTTTCTCTCTCTAAAATAAACAAACATATCCTTGGGTGAGGATTAAAAAAAACCATAAAAACAATATGAGTATAGTCTATATCCTTTAGACGACCAATTGATAACGGCTACCGCCCACCACTGGATTGACATTTATTGTTCAGTTACTGCCAAGTAGTCCTATTTTAATGGTGTGGTAATGAGAAAAAAATCTGAAGTGGCTGTCAAAGATGAAAGATGGTTGGTGCTGCCCTAGTGGGTGTGGTTCAGTGGCTTGAGCACCGGCCTGTGAACCGAAGAGTCAATGGTTTGATTCCCGGTCCGGGTGCATGCCTGGGTTGGGGGCCAGGTCCCCAGCAGGGGCGCGCGAGAGGCGGCCGAGGGATGCATCTCTCGCACACCGATGTCTCTCTCCCTTTCTTCCTCCCTCCCTTCCCCTCTCTTTAAAAATAAATATTAAAATCTTCTTAGAAAGAGCACATCTAAAAAAAAAAAATATGGTTGGTTATGTGAAGGCTAAATGACTTCACTGTGAGTTACGTAATAAATGTTTTCCCTGAAAGAAAACAGGGAAAGGAAGCGGGAACTTGACTGTCGGTGGGGTACACTGTAGCTTGTAAGCCTGACCGCTCCCAGTCAGGACCCTGGCTAGTGGTCCAGGAACTACTCAAGCCAAAGAAATGAATTTGTAATAGCACCTGCTAATAAGAAATCAATGAGTGAGTGGAGTTTTGGGGAATCTGTACCGCTGACTTACAAATTATTTTAGTTTCATAGTTTTGTAAAAGCATGAGGCATTTAAACTTAGTTTTAATATTTGTTCCTACATGAGCAGCATTACATAATTTTTTAAAAAAGATCTTTACTTATTTATTTTTAGAGGGACGGGGAGGGAGAGAAAGATCAATGTGAGGTTGCCTCTTGCCCACTGAGGGCCTCCAGCCTGGAACTCAGGCATGTGTCCTGCCTGAGGATCGAATCCGCGACCCTTTGGTTTGCAGGGCGGCACTCACTCCACTGAGCCACACAAGTAGTTTAAATGAACACTCTCTACATTCCTTCGAGGAGGCATGGGTACAAGTGCTATGGTACGTAGCACAGAAAGATCCGGCGGCAACTTTAACGGGTGACGTTAAACACAGGTTTGGGGATTATGTAGGGATGGAGCTCAGGAGAAGAGGAAGCAGAGGCAGGCAGGGGAAACAGAAAGCAGCCAAGCCCTTCCGGAGAGTTGGCTGGGTGGCTGAGCACGGGGCGGGGGAGAGGTCGCGAGGGCTGGGACTTCGGGGTGACAAGGAGGCCCTTACCCCTGTGGAGAGGGCTCTCCACACTTGGGGTTGCATGGGCTCACTTGGAAAAACAAGGGCCCTGGGAAGCGGGGCGACCCTCAGTGTCTGCGTGGGACCCCATCCCCGAAGGATGAAGTGAGAGAGATTGTGCCCGGCACCTGGGGCTCCTCTCAGGTGCGTGCGAGGCGGGGAGGGCGGCCGCCGACAGGGCCCGTGACTGCTTCTGGCCGGCCGCGGGCGGCTCCCGGCGCCCCCTAGACACTAGAAACTTACCTTCACGAAGCTGTCTGCGTCCGGAAATCCCGGCAGCACCATCTCCTCGTCGGACTTGGCCTCACTCGTTGCGGATGGGGCCTTGGGCTCCCGGGGACTGGGAGGCGCCATTTTTTCCGTCGGCACGGCTTTTCTCGCGAGAGTGCCTCGGTCGGAAGCGACTTGCGCGCACCACGCATGTGCAAAGGCCGTCTCCGTGGGGACGGCCTTGGAGCAGTGTGAGTTGCGCTGTCATTCTTGAGCTGCTCTCCCCACCCACCGGGTACATTTTTCTTTAACCTCGTACTTTATCATCCCAATAACCCTGTGATTTAGGGTGGGACCGGGAGGATCCAATTATCCTCATATTTAAAGCCAGCTCTTCCCAATCTCTGGTGTGTGTCCCCTTCACCCCTCTTGATTCTGGCCCCTGCACTTATCGCCTCTCTCCATCATCCATGCTTTTCCTGGCTACTGGTTCATTCCTAACAGCGTCCACGCTGGCTGGCATCTCTACTATCCGAAAAAACAAAACAAAACAAACAAAAAAACCCTGCTCTGCTCCACATATCCTTCCAGTCACCATCGCATTTCTCTTGCCCTTTGTAGGCAAGTCACTGCAAAAAGCATCTAGATGTGAGAAGGGAGCTCAGGAGTTAAAGATTTTGCCTTAGTTGCAAGGCCTAAGCGATCAATGCAAAGCAATGATTGGAAAGCTGCTATTCCAGGAGCTGCGATGCATGACCTACACGACTCCAGGAGCGACTCAACCTTTGTGCCCAGGGAGATGGTATCCCAGTTGTTGATGAACAGAGAAAGAAGTACTAGGAAAATCCGCCTGGCACTGCAACTCTTGTTCTATTTACCTACCCTTTCTTCTTTTTATAGAAAGATCCGCTTGAGATGAGATGTTAGGATGATTTTTGAGAGTACAGAATCTGCCGTCATCTCAGATGGTGGGCATCTGAATAAAGCACCATGAAGATTCAATCTTTGTCTCTATTTATGGTTCTGGTAGTGACAGGCAGCATGGACATTTCATATGCTCCGGCTGTACTTACCTCCAGTTTCCTCCAACTCCTCCAGTCACAGGTTCCCGCTTACACTGCGGGAGCCACTCATTTGGGTACACAGTGGGAACTCAAAACATTGGCTAACTGAATGCCTGGAAGAGCTCTTGGTAAGAGGGATGCACTATTAGGCAGCTCAGGAGGTGGATTTGGGAAGCTCAGTGGGTATGTCCTCTTGCTAAGGCCAGTGGTGACACACCCTTAATACAACTCATTTGGCTTAGTGTTAAATAAATGTTAGCTGTAATCATTACTCAGAATGTCCTATTAACAGGATACTGGTTTTTCCCCATTTGTGTACCCAGGCAGAACAGGCTAGTCTAGTTCATTTTAACGACTAATATTTTTGAGCACTTATTTCATATGGTTCAACCTAATGCCATATGTACTGCGTGCTTTACAGCATGGATCCCCACCCCAGGCCGCGGACCCGTACTGGTCCTTGGCCTGTTAGGAATCAGGCCGTATAGCAGGTGAGCAGTGGGCAAGCCAGCAAAAAAAGGTGCCCAAAAGGTTGGGGACCACTGCTTTACAGGGTATCTCTCATCCTCAAAACCACCTTATGGAGCAGATCATAGTATTACCCACTTTAAGCGAGGGAAAACAAGGCTCAGATTCTGTTTTAAAACCTTACATGGTTCCCTATCGTCCCCAGCATCAACTCCTTGTTGTTGAAATGAGACTGACTTCAGCAGTCTGACCCCACTCTACTTTCTAGCCTCCTATTTAGTTCCTATTATTCCTCTTCCTATTGGTCCTTTTGCTCCCCACCGACCACTGAGGCGGTCATGCTGAACTATGGTCCAACTGTGTGAAACGTTAAGTATCAAAACTGGCTGAATACCTGCAATCTAATATGGTGCAAGTTAACATTTGCCATTTCTGCACCATATGGTGCCTTTAGCCCTCTTCTCTGAGAACGTCCTCACTTGCTTCATCTGACAGCTTGTGCTCATCCTTGAAGACCCCTGGCAGATGTGCCCCTTTCTGTGACTCTACTGCCTCACTGCTCAGCGCGGTCAGTCGATTCAGAGCCCCACTGTGGGATGCACCCTCTACACGGCTCCCGGCCACTCAGTGTGGCGGAGTTACGGTCCGCTCCTGCGTGGTGCCTTCTCTGCCGCATTTCCGGCCTGTGAACACCCTGAGGAAATGAGCTAGGGCATGTAGGTCCAGGATCCGTCACAGTCCCTAGTACTAAGTTTAATGAATGGTGAAGGAATAACTGCTTCCTTTATGAGTAATTATGAATAAAAATCCACTCATACATGTTTTTAAAATTCTGTTGTCATTTATTGGCACAAAAATTATTCAGATACAACATGGTGTCTAGACATGGCTACACTTTATACTTTGTGCACTTAATGTTTTTTTTTGTTCATCATTCCCAACATGTACGAGGCCTTCCCTCTGTGTTCAGCACCTCCATGGCAGCACTTAACACGCAGGGCATTCAGACCTCACTAAAAACACACCAGAACCGTGTAGGCCACTCCACTGCACTTGACCCCCTTTTGTGCATTTGCTCTGCCTAGGCTGCCCAGCATTCGGAAAAAACTCCCCTCTGAGTGGTCTGGGTCTTGGACGGAAGTGTGTTCGTGGCAGCATCACAGGCGAGGCAGAAGACAGGCCTCTTCCCACCCATTGTGGCCCATCCTGCAAATGTTGTTGCTGGACCAGTGAGGTAATGGGTTGGGTGAAAGCGATGAGGTCAGCTTCTCCCGCTTCCTTACCGTCCAGGACCCTAAGACACACCCTCACGACCTGAGGCTCCTTGACTGCGCTGAGTTTGCTGGACTCGTGTCGAGAGGATCGACTAGGCCATTCTGCTATCAGCAAACGCGTAGGCTGAGTTGTGAGTTAAGTCAAAACCCGTATTTCTAAAGTTATAGATCTTCTGTTCCCCCAAATCAATGGCTTGATTTATGTAGTATTACTGTGTTTACTGTCCTGGGAACCAAATCAAGCCTTGTGTTTCTGACAATATATTCTTCAACAGCAGCTAGAAAATTGGTTCAAACCAACTTTTACTATACAGTAGTTCTTTTCATTTACATTTTGAAATATTTAACAAAGTTGAACTTTCTGACCACCGTTTCAGTTGAGTGGGAGCATATACCAGAGCACAAAAGGCTCCAGAGAAATGCTGTGGGCACGTCCGGGCCTCCAGTCACCAGAAGGGACACCTAAGAAGACAGAAAGAAAGGGAATATGTTAATAATTTGAGCTTCTTCAAAGCTTTGCGCAGATACATTGAAAATGGAAAGACTAGGGTCTGACAACCCCTGGGACATCTGCTGAGCTCTCCCACCACTAATTGTGCAGGACACACTCATCGCTTCCCGTCAACGGCGGGGCCTGCTGTGGTCCCCGAAGGACACCCCCTACCGCCCCGTCCCTCAGGGTGCTGCCTTCAAGCGCGCCTCAGGCAATTAATCAAAGCAGACCCCAGAGTGGTCCTTGATGTTGCAATCCCAGAGCATAAATTTGTCTTTTCATCTCCTTCTCTCTCTCTCTCTCACTGTTCTGGCTTCTTTTTTCTTTGTACTCCCTGTATCTTGGAACTGACAGCAAAAGTCCAAAATGATCCACCCCTGCCCCTGCCTCCGAAAATAAGGAGGCCTCATTCTTCTAAACTATTTTTAATGCAATTTTAACTTGTTTTGCAGAGAGAAAGGCGGTGGCGGGGGGAAGAGAGAGAGAGAGAAAGAGAAAAAGAAAGAAACATTGATTTGCTGTTCTAGTTAATTTATGCATTCACTTATTGATTCTTGTATGCACCCTGACCAGGGATCAAACCTGCAACCTTGGCATATCGGGACAATTCTCTAACCAACTGAGCCACCCGGGCAGGGCCTCCATTTTCTCCTTTTTAGAGCAACGAGCACACACGGTGAATACAAACTTTTAAAGAGATTTGAGTGGCCCTGGCTGGGTGCTCAGTTGGTTAGAGCGTCATCCCAATACGCCAAGGCTGCAGGTTTGATCCCTGGTCAGGGCACATACAAGAATCAACCAGTGAATGCATAATAAACAAGTGGAAGAGCTAATCGATGTTTCTCTCTCTCCTTTTTTCTCTCTCTTTAATGTCAATTAACTAAGAAAAACATAAATGTGAAACTATGATTACACCGGATAAATCTTTTTTTGTGACCCTGGACACAGAGCAGACCACGCCCACTACATTAACAAGGGAACTGTGAGATGCCCACTCACCAGCCAATGTAGCACTGGCAGAGGTTTTCGTGGGACGTTGCTTGTTTGATGAGCAGCTCGACTTGTGTTGGGACATCTAAAGTTTCATCATGAGAGAAGTCCCGACCTAGGACAAGAGAAACAAAGCATTTAATTTGTACCTGGTTTTCAACTCCCTCCTTGGCCCTGTTTGGCTTAATTCTCTATGCAGCCCAAGTCAGCCTATCCGCACACGTGAGTATGAAGGCTACATGAGAGTTGGATTTTATATTCACCTCCACGTGCCTTGAGCCTTTCCTCCCATGGGACAGTTGCTTCCATTATAAATTCATAAACTCAAACATCAAACAGGCACACGGCACTGCCTGGCTGGCTTATGCTGCTGCTTTGGCAATGTGCCTTTCCATTTCCAAGAGGGTTATTTCAAGTCCTCTACTCTCCCCAAATGCCCAAACCTTTCTGGTTTCTCACCCTTGGCAGATGCCCTCATTTACCATATGAGGTCATTCACTGAACACACAGTTTTTGATCCCTTGTGTGCCAGAAAGTGTTAGAGGTGCTGTATTTATTTGACATCAGCCTCCTCTTCTTTACTCGTGACCCAAAGAGCTGTCCCTCCTACCATTCAAGGCTAAGTTCACCTGCCCTTTGGATCCCAGGCCTCCAGCTCTTAGGAGTCTTATTGTATCGGTTACCCTTCCCCTCACTCATGCCCTCAAACTCTCCCTCTCAGCTGCCCTTTCCTGTTTCGTAAGCACATTCCTCTCAGCCAACTACTCTTTCTCCAGCTGTATGTCCTCTCTTATCCCTGTACAGCCAAACTCCTCAAGAACTTTGAAACTTGCCTCCTTTCCTCATTGCTCAGTCTCACTTCATGCTTGATTGCTTCAGTCTGGCTG